GGCTGGTGGAACACGGGCGCAACTGGGCCGCCATCGCCAAAATGGTGGGGACAAAGAGCGAAGCCCAGTGCAAGAACTTCTACTTCAACTACAAACGGAGGCACAACCTGGACAGCCTCCTTCAGCAGTACAAGCAGAAGGTGAGAAGGGCAGACAGGTGAGGGGGGTGGGGTGAATTGGGGTGGGCGGGAGAGTAATCGGGGGCTGCCTGGGGGGGCGGGAAAGGGAGTGAACCTTTTTTCTGCCAACTTCATTCAGAGAGCTTCCCGTGTCAAGAATTTCATTCAGTTATTCGTTCAGTCATCCATTAGTTATCCTGCTATCCATTCATTATCCATCGATTCATTCATCCATCGATTCATTCATCCATCCATTCATTTATTCATCCATCCATCCGTCTACCCATCTATTAATTCTTATTGATTCATCCATTCATTCACTCTTTAGCTATCAGTTCATTCTTCCATCCATTCATTATCCATCCATCCATTCATTATTTATCCATGCTTTCATTCATTTTCCATTAATTCATTCTTCCATCCATTCATTTTTTCATCTATCCATCTGTCTACCCATCTATTCTTATTGATTCATCCATTCATTCACTGTTTAGCTATCAATTCATTCTTCCATCCATTCATTATCCATCCATCCATTAATTATTTATCCATGCTTTCATTCATTTTCCATCAATTCATTCTTCCATCCATTCATTTATTCATCTATCCATCCATCTACCCATCTATTAATTCTTATTGATTCATCCATTCATTCACTTTTTAGCTATCAGTTCATTCTTCCATCCATTCATTATCCATCCATCATCCGTCTACCCATCTATTAATTCTTATTGATTCAACCATCCATTTGCCGTTTAGCTATCAGTTCATTCTTCCATCCATTCATCATCCATCCATCCATTCATTTGTTATTTATCCATGCTTTCATTCATTTTCCATCAATTCATTCTTCCATCCAGCAATTCATCCATCCATCATTCATTATCAGTTTATTTGTTAGTCATTCATTCAATATTTACCCACCCATTCGTTCATCTAGCCAGCCAGCCAACCATCCATTCATTTTATTTATTTATCCATGCATTCAATCATTTTCCATCAATTCATTTTTCCATCCATCAATTGTTCCATCATTCATTATCCATTCATTTGTTTTCCATCCATTCAGCATTTATCCATCCATTCGTTCATCGTCTATCCATCCATTATTCATCCATTCATAATTTATCCAGGCATTGCTTTATTTGACATCAGTTCATTCTTCCATCCATCACTTCATCCATCCATCCATCCATTCATTATCCATTCATCCGTTATCCATCCAGTCAGCATTTATCCATCTGTTTGTTCATCATCAATCCATCCATCATCCATTCATTCATTATTTATCCATGCATTCATTCATTATCCATTCGTTCGTTATCCATCCATTCAAGATTTATCCACGCATTCATTCATTGTCTGACCATCCATCCATCCATCATTCATTCATTATTTATTTATCCATGCATTCATTCATTTTACATCCATCCATCCATCCATCCATCCATCCATCCATCCATCCATCCAATGAGTATGGCCATCCATCTCAAAACCAGTGCCTTTGGTCCTTAGACAGCCATCAACTCAATTAAAACCAATTAAAAACCACAATAGAAAAAAAAAAAAAAAACCGAACACTTAATCAAAAGATCGGTAGTTCAGCGGTTCGAATCCCGAGTGCCGCGTAACGGGGTGAGCTCCCGTGACTTGTCCCAGCTTCTGCCAACCTAGCAGTTCGAAAGCACGTAAAAAATGCAAGTAGAAAAATAGGGACCACCTTTGGTGGGAAGGGAATAGCGTTCCGTGCGCCTTTGGCGTTGAGTCATGCCGGCCACGTGACCACGGAGACATCTTCGGACAGTGTTGGCTCTTCGGCTTTGAACCGGAGATGAGCACCGCCCCCTAGAGTCGGGAACGACTAGCACATATGTGCGAGGGGAACCTTTACCTTTACCTTTAAATGTTAGCGTAACCAGGAAACGGGACCCTTCCAGCTTCACTTGGGACCCCAGACCCAGGCATACCACCAAATCTTTTAAGACCTTGAAAAGGCTACAGGCTAAGGGCCATCCTAATTTCAGGAGGAGGAGATGATCCAGAAGACTGGCATTATGGAAGTTTAGACATATCTCTTGCGGGATGACTTTTCCTAGACCTTGTTATCCCAACACCTAGAAGACCCCCCTGGTTTTAAGATATTAGAGGAGGCAAGCCATCCAATCCACACCCTAAAGCAGGCAATCCAGACATGTTTAAAGCATGAAGGATAAAGACCACACATTAAATTCCAATTAAAATTGATTTATCACTTTATGCCTATCCACAAGAATTAATCAACCAACAGTCAGCATGAATTGGCATTAGAGAAGAGTCAACAAAATTCAAAAGGGTTTGGAGTGAGATCACTTGTGGGAACGCAAGGATTCCAGGCAGATTCCGCTCTTGACTCCTCCCTTGCTTTCCTCTCCTAATATACAGATAGTCTTCAACTTCTAAGCTTTCATTTAGTGACCGTTCGAAGTTAACAACAGCGCTGGAAGAAAAAGTGGCTCAAAACTGTTTTTCACACTTAACAATCCCTGCAGCATCCCCGTCAAAATTCGGGCACTTTGTATTTATGACGCTCGCAGCGTCCCGCGATCCCTTTTTGCGACCTTCTGACGAGCAAAGTCAGTGGGGAAGCCGGATTCACTTAACAACCCTGTGACTCGCTTAACAACCGCAGTGGGTTCCCTTAACAACGGTGGCAGTCGTAATTCGGACACGATGGCTTTCTTAAGAAACAGACCACTTAAGGACAAATTTTCTGTCCCAAATTGTGGTCGCAAGTTGAAAGAAGCAGCCTATTAAAATATAAACAGGAGGATTTCAAACATGTACGGGTAATCCTTGACTTACAACCAGGGGTGAAATCTAAAATTTGTTACTACCGGTTTGTGGGCGTGGCTTGGTGGTGGGGGGGTTAATATGACTGGGTGGGTGTGGCCTTTTTTTTTTTTTAACTTTTAAAACCATTTTTTCTACAACCTCGAAGAGATTTGTATTTACGACGTTCACCATGTCCCCATCAGGAAAGTCAATGTCGGGGGTGGGGGAAGGGAGGGGAAGCCAGATTCACTTAACAACCGTGAGACTCACTTTAACTACAACTGCAGCGATTCACTTAACGACCGCGGGAAGAAAGGTCGTAAAATGGGAGGAAAGTCGGACAAGCGTCTCGCTCGGCAGCGGAAGTCTAGAGCTCCCTTGCGGGTCGTAAGTCGAGGACTAGCTGCACAAGCCAGGAGTTACACCGTCTCCCTTCTTTTTTCTAGTCTTCTCGAAGGCCGCGCGAGGAACGGGACGTTTCTCAGTGCGAGAGCGTGGCGTCCACCGTCTCCGCGCAGGAGGATGAGGACATCGAGGTCTCCAACGAGGAAGAGAACCCGGAAGACAGCGAAGGTGAGTCTAGAACACGGGTGTCAAACTCAATTTAAATTGAAGGACACAGCAGGGCTGTGGTTGATCTCGGAGGGGGGCCGGGGGTGCGTGGCTGACTGGGTGGGCATGGCCATCTTGACACCACTCACCGGGTGCAGCTGACTGGGTGGGTGTGGCTGACTGGGTGGGCATGGCCATCTTGATGCTACTCCCAGGGGGTGTGGCTGACTGCGTGGGCGTGGCCAGGTTGACACCACTCACCGGGTGCAGCCAACTGGGTGGGTGTGGCTGATTGGTGGGCGTGGCCATCTTGATGCTACTCCCAGGGGGTGTGGCTGACTGGGTGGGCGTGGCCAGGTTGACACCACTCACCGGGTGCAGCCAACTGGGTGGGTGTGGCTGATTGGTGGGCGTGGCCATCTTGATGCTACTCACAGGGGGTGTGGCTGACTGGGTAGGCGTGGCCAGGTTGATACCACTCACCGGGTGCAGCCAACTGGGTGGGTGGGGCTGATTGGATGGGCGTGGCCAGCTTGATGCTACTCACGGGGTGTGGCTGACTGGGTAGGCGTGGCCAGGTTGACGCCACTCACCAGGTGCAGCCGACTGGGTGGGTGTGGCTGACTGGGTGGGCGTGGCCATCTTTATGCTACTCACGGGGTGTGGCTGACTGGGTAGGCGTGGCCAGATTAACACCACTCCCCAAACTGCTGGCATGTTTCCTCTTACGGCCCCATCGACGGATCCGACCACATCGTGGCTTTGCGTTTGACACCCTCCTGATCTAGAAAGACCAAGGGAGAGTTCCAGGGCCCAATCATTCAGGCAGAACAACCGCTTTGCAAGGTTGCCTGGTGGTGCTCGATAATTTTTAAGGGGTCAGCAAAATTTGCTTGATCCATCTGAGCAGGAGGAGAGGGTGGGTGGGTGGGGGGCTCCAATCCATCAGAATAGAGCTTGAAGGGATCTTGAAAAACAAGCAGGAGGCCTTATGCCATTTCAGCCCACAGCTTTCTGGAGGCAAGCCCTTTCCCTGATTATAATAGAATCATACGGCTGGAAGGGACCCTGGAGGTCTTCTAGTCCAACCCCCTGCCTAAGCAGAAGACCTTAGTCAAATGGTCATCCAGTCTCTTCTTAAAGACCTCCAGTGAGGGAGTACCCTCAACGTCTGGAGGCGAGTCATGTCCATTCTGACATTCTCACTGTCAGAAAATTTCTCCTTATTTCTATGTTGATTAGTGTCCATCCGTTGTTGCTTCTTCTCCTGCCTTCAGGTGCTTTGGAGAATAGGTTGACCCCCCCCCTCCTCTTTGTGGCAGCCCCTTAAATAATGGAAAATGCTATCGTGTCTCCCCTAGTCCTTCTTTTCTCTAGACCAGCCATACTCAATTCCTGCAACCGTTCTTAATAGAACAGAATAGAGCTGGAAGGGACCTTGGAGGTCTTCTAGTCCAGCCCCTGCTTAAGCAAGAGACTCTACACCAGGGGTGAAATGCTCCCGGTTCGGACCGGATCACCTGATTCAGTAGCGATGGAGGCGGGTGGTTCGGAGAACCGGTAGAAAAAATCCCTGCCCCCCCTTCCCCCATTGCCCAGCTGAGCCACGCAATCATCAGAGGCTTTTTATTTTATTTTTAAAAGCATTTTTTCTACAACCTTTTTGGCTGAAAAAAATGCTTTTAAAAGTTAAAAAAAAAAGCCTTTGATGATCGCGCGGCTCAGTTGGGATCATCAGAGGCTTTTAAAAGCATTTTTTCTACAACCTCTTCGGCTGAAGAGGTTGTAGAAAAAAGGCTTTTAAAAGCCTCTGACGATCCCAGCTGAGTTGCCTGATTGGCAAAGGTTTTTTTTTTCCTTTTAAAAACATTTTTTCTACAACCTCTTCGGCTGAAGAGGTTGTAAAAAAATGGTTTTAAAAGCCTCTGACGATGAGCTGAGCCGGAGGATCATCAGAGGCTTTTTTTTTTTTTTTTTTTACTTTTAAAAGCATTTTTTCTACAACCTCTTCGGCTGAAGAGGTAATAGAAAAAATGTTTTTAAAAGGAAAAAACGCCTAAGCCGATCAGGCAAGTCAGCTGGGATCATCAGAGGCTTTTAAAAGCATTTTTTTTACAACCTCTTCAGCCGAAGAGGTTGTAGAAAAAATGCTTTTAAAAGTAAAAAAAAAAAAAAGTTGGCCACACCCACTCAGTCATATTACACCCCCCAAGCCACGCCCACACAACCGGTAGTAACAAATTTTACATTTCACCACTGCCCTATACCATTTCAGACAAGTGACTGTCCAGTCTCTTCTTAAAAGCCTCCAGTGAAGCACCCACAACGTCCGGTGGCAAGCTGTTCCACTGATTAATTATTCTCACTGCCAAGAAATTTGTCCTTATGTCTAGATTGGGTCTCTCCTTTTTTTTTTTTTAATTTGATTTATATGCCGCCCTTCTCCGGAGACTCAGGGCGGCTTACAATGCGTTAAGCAATAGCCTTCATACTTTTGTATATTTTATACAAAGTCAGCTTATTGCCCCCACAAACTGGGTCCTCAATTTACCCACCTTAGAAAGGATGGAAGGCTGAGTCAACCTTGAGCCTGGTGAGATTCGATCTTACTTTAATTGCAGACAGCTGATGTTAATCACAATGCTTTTAGTCTGCTGAGCTAAACCAGGCTCCTTAATTAGTTTCCCCATAAAAGGGATCAACATTAACCTTGTGGATGTGGTTGAATTCTGAGATCAATTAGGAATCGGAGAATCTTGGACAAGACTAATAAAAGGGGAGAAGCAATCTAGAATTAAGGAGGAATTTCCTGACAGTGAGAACAATTAATCAGTGGAACTACTTGCCTCCAGAAGTTGTGAATTCTCCAACACTGGAAGTTCTTAAGAAGAGATCGGACAACCATTTGGTATCAGGTCTCCTGCCTGAGCAGGGGGTTGGACTAGAAGACCTCCAAGGTCCCTTTCTCTGATTCTATTATAATCAGTGAAAGGGTTTGCCTTCAGAAGTTATGGGTTCTCCATCACTGGAAGTTTTCAAGAAGGGAGCGGACAACCATTTGTCTGAAATGGTGTACAGCAGTGATGGCTAACCTGTTTTCTCTTCGGGCGCCAAAAGGGCGCGTACTTGCCATCACCCATAATGCAATGCACGCGCCCTCCACGCATGCACGCACCCCCCCACGCATGCACACGCGACACCCACACCACCCCTCCCACGCATGTGCGCGAGGGGAGGGGTTCAAACATTTTAGCAACCTGCACTACGGTAAGGGAGGCATGTTTGCCCTCCCCAGGCTTCAGAGGCTTTTCTTGAGCCTCCAGGAGGGGGAAATCGGCCTCCCTGGGCTCCGGAGGTCCTCCGGAGGCCAGAAATGGGCTCATTTCTGCACTTCTGGAATGCATGTGCCACTCCCTCCCATGCTCCTCCCTTCCCCGTGCATGCGCATGACCCCCCGCGCATTCACACACGTCTCCCGCATGCACCCCACCTCCTGTGCATTCTCAAAATCATCTGGCCGGTGGGAGGCACGAGTACCCATGCGCAGTGGACATGAGCTCGCGTGCCCACAGAGAGGACTGCGTGCCAGCTGTGGCACACCTGCAATAGGTTTTCCGTCACAGGTATACAATAAGGTCTCCTGCTTTTGCAGGGGGTTGGACTAGAAGACCTCCAAGGTCCCTTCCAATCCTGTTATTTGGTTATCCTTTCCTGTGCTTACGCTCAACCTAATGCCTTTCCAGCAGTGATGGGTTTCAAAAATTTTTTTACTACTGGTTCTGTGGGCGTGGCTTGGTGGGCGTGGCAGGGAAGGATGCTGTAAAATCTCTATTCCCACCCCACTCCAGGGGAAGGATACTGGAAAATCCCCATTCCCACCCCAATCCAGGGGAAGGATACTGTAAAATCACCATTCCCACCCCAATCCAGGGGAAGGATACTGTAAAATCCCCATTCCCACCTCAATCCGGGGGAAGGTTACTGTAAAATCCCCATTCCCACCCCAATCCAGGGGAAGGATACTGTAAAATCACCATTCCCACCCCAATCCTGGGGAAGGATACTGCAAAATCCCCATTTCCACCCCAATCCAGGGGAAGGATACTGTAAAATCCCCATTACCTCCCCAATCCAGGGGAAGGATACTGCAAAATCCCCATTCGCTCCCCAATCCAGGGGAAGGATACTGTAAAATCCCCATTTCCTCCCGATCAGCTGGGACTCGGGAGACAGAGAATAGATGGGGGCGGGGCCAGTCAGAATTTTTACTACCGGTTCTCCAAACTACTCAAAATTTCCGCCACCGGTTCGCCAGAACTGCCAGAACCTGCTGAAAAACCCACCTCTGCTTCCCAGGTGCCGAAAACAGCTCCGATACGGAAAGCGCCCCGTCTCCTTCTCCGACGGAGACTTCGAAACCTTTAGAAGACGCCCCACCGGACAGCAGCTCTTCCCAGATCACCACCGAGGCGGCGGCTGAGCAGGACTCTGCCATCAAACCGGCTCCCAGCGCTTCCCCTCCCTCGGCCACCCCCGGCACGAAGGCGGCCGAGAGCGAAGGGGCCGAGCTGCAGGTCAAACAAGAAGCCAAATCCGAAGTGGAGGAGCTGATGGAGACGGAGAGCAGCATCTCCCTGGTGGACACCAAGCCCGTCCTCAATCTGGCTGCGGGGACCAAACTGGAGCCCGTAGAGATGGACACCAAGCCGCCCTTAGACATTCAGGTCAAGTTGGAGAACGAGGTCAAGGAGAGGGACGAGGACGGGCCGAAGGAGAAGCTGGAGCCGGATGGAGGGGACTTCGGCTCGAGCCACCCGGCCAGCGTCCAGAGGATGGAACCCAGCTCGGACAACGACTCCAGCGCCACTTGCAGTGCCGATGAAGAGGTGGACGGGGAGCCCGAGAGGCAGAGGTGAGGTCCCGGGCCCAGTGGGAGGCGCTCTTGTTTCTCCATTCCAGAAACTCACCTGTCCGTATTCTTGCTGACGGATGGCCACCCCATGAGCAGTAGCCCTTAGACTAATATATACCGCTTCACAGGGCTTTCACAGCCCTCCCTAAGCGCTTTGCAGAGTCAGCCTCTTGCCCCCCAACCATCTGGGTCCTCATTTGACCCACCTCGGAAGGACGGAAGGCTGAGACAATCTTGAGGGGTCAGGATCGAACTTCCTGGCAGTGGGCAGAGTTTAGCCTGCAATACTGCATTCTGACCACTGCGCCATCATGACTTACTTCCTTCTGCTTGTTTTCCTTCCTTCTTTCCTTCCTTCCTTCCTTCTTTCTTTCCTTGCTTCCTTCCGTCCTTCCTTCTTCCCCTTCCTTCCTTCTCCTTGTTTCCCTTCCTTCTCATTTCCTTTCCTTCTCACCTTCCTTCCTTCCTTCTTTCCTTCCTTCTCCTTGTTTCCCTTCCTTCTCATTTCTTTTCCTTCTCATCTTCCTTCCTTCTTTCCTCCTTCTCCTTGTTTCCTTCCTTCCTTCCTTCTCCTTGTTTCCCTTCCTTCTTGTTTCCCTTCCTTCTCATTTCCTTTCCTTCTCATCTTCCTTCCTTCCTTCCTTCCTTCCTTCCATCCTTTTCCTTGTTTCCCTTCCTTCTCATTTCCTTTCCTTCTCATCTTCCTTCCTTCCTTCTTTCCTTCCTTCTCCTTGTTTCCCTTTTCCTTCCTTCTTCCTTACTCCTTGTTTCCCTTCCTTCCTTCTTGTTTCCCTTCCTTCTCATTTCCTTTCCTTCTCATCTTCCTTCCTTCTTTCCCTTCCTTCCTTTTTCCTTCCTTCTCCTTGTTTCCCTTCCTTCTCATTTTTTTCCTTCTCATCTTCCTTCCCCTTGTTTTCCTTCCTTCCTTCTTCCCCTTTCTGCCTTCCTTCCTTCCTATTCCTTGTTTACTTCCCTCCCTCCCTTCCTTCTTCCCCTCCCTCCCTCCCTTCTTTCGACCTTGTTTCCCTCCCTCCCCTTCCTTCTTCCCCTCCCTCCCTTCTTTCTCCTTGTTTCCCTTCCTTCCTTCTTTCTTCTTCTCCTTTCCTTCCTTCTCATTTCCTTTCCTTCTCATCTTCCTTCCTTCTTCCCTTCCTTCCTTCTTCCCCTTTCTGCCTTCCTTCCTTCCTTCTCCTTGTTTCCCTCCCTCCCTCTCTCCCTTCCTTCCGTTCGTTCGTTTGTTCCTTCTTCCCCTTCCTTCCTTCCTTCCTTCTCCTTGTTTCCCTCTCTCCCTCCCTTCCTTCCTTCCTTCCGGTCCTTCCAGTTGAGCTTCCGGTTTCTGGCGCTGACCAGAAGACCAGCTGGTTGGCGCACATACGCGGGCCGGAAATCAGAAGCTCAGCTTCCCAGCACATGCTTGCGCGCCACGGAAGGAATTGCTCTTCTGGTTTCCGGCGCTCGCATACGCGCAAAGACCAACTGGCCAGCGTGCACGTGCGCGCCAGAACCCAGAAGACCAACGGGCGATGGCTGGCATCCCCGGAGAGATGTCTCTGCATGCCACTTCCAGCACGCGTGCCATAGGAGCTCGCCATCATGGGCATAGGGCGTCCTGCTTCGGCAGGGGGTTGGACTAGAAGGCCTCCAAGGTCCCTTCCCGCTCTGTTATTCCGATTGTTTAGATTGTCTAAGTGGGCTTGCCACCACCCCGGCCTTGTAGGGCGCCCGAGTGGCTGTCGTCTTCTTCTGCGGACGTCCCACCCGCTCTTGTTGGCTTCCCCACGTTCCGTGGCCACCGCGGTGGTGCGCAAGGAGGGCGGTGTGTGTGTAATGGAAAGTTTCCTCTGGGCTTGCTAAATGTCAGAGGGATCAAGTTACTGCCTTTCCCCCCACCTTTCCTCTAATCTCTCTCTGTGTGTGTTTGTGTGTGTTGTTGGAAAAGGGTATTTGCAAGTGCAGCCTTTCCCTCTCTTCTCCCTCTCCCTCTCTCTCTCTCTTTCTCTCTCTTTCTCTCTTCTGTCTTTTTCTTTCTCTCTGTTTCTCTTCTCTTTCTTTCTCTCCCTGATTTTCTCTTTCTTTTTTCTCTGTCTTCCTCTTTTCTCTCTCTCTCTCTCTCCCCGTTTTTCTCTTTCTTTTTCTTCTCTCTGCCTTCCTCTTTTTTCTCTCTCCCACTCTCTTCTCTTTCTCTTTTCTCTCTTGTTTTTTTTCTCTCTCTCTCCTTCCCTGTTTCTCTTTCTCTCCCTGTTTTTCTTTCTTTTTCTCTCGTTTTTTTCTCTGTCTCTCTCTCCTTTGTCTTTTTCTCTTTCTCTTCTCTCTCATTGTATCTTTCTCTCTGTGTGTGGCTTCCTCTCAGTCTTTCCTTCTTTCTCTTCTTTCTCCTTTCATTCTTTCTTTCTTTTTTCTTTCTTTCTTTCTTTCTTTTCTCTCTCTCTTTCTCCCTTCTGTCTTTTTCTTTCTGTTTCTCTCTCTTTCTCTTTCTCTCTGTTTCTTTCTCTCTTTCCCTGATTTTCTCTTTCTTTTTTATGTATTCCTCTTTTTTCTCTCTCCCTCCCTCTCTCTTCTCTTTCTCTTTTCTCTCTTTTCTTTTTCTCTTTCTCTATTTTCTCTCTGTGTGTTTCTTTTTCTATCTTTCTGTCTCCCTGTTTTTCTTTCTTTCTCTCTCTTTTTTCTCTTTCTCTTTCTGTCTCTCTGTCTCTTTCTCTCTGTGTGTGTCTGTCTCTTCTCTGTCTTTCCCTCTTTCTCTTCTCTTCCTCTTCTTTCTTTCTCCTTCCTTCCTTCCTTTCTTTTCTCTCTCTCTCTCCCTCCCTCCCTCCAGCTTTGCAGGGGGAAGACCCTTTTCCTGCAAAGATCTAAACCGCAATCGGTTTGTTTGCACTCAGTTGTCCAGAACAGAGAGATTAGTGTCGCTTGGGTGGCTGTTATGTGGGGTGTGGTTGTGTACTCCCTGACCCACAAAAGGCATCTCTTTAAAGAAAAGCAGAGGAAGCGGAGGAGAGAACCTCCCTGCCTACTTCTCCTTTTTCTGGCCATTTGCAAATAGGTATTTATCTATTTAAGAAAATTGATACGGCTGCCCAGTTGATGAGTCCGGGCAGCTTAGAAACATACAAAAAACCCCCACCCTCCTGGCAACAACAATCACACCGACCACACACAGGTAATCCTCGACTTACGACCACGGCCGAGCCCCAAATTTCTGCTGCTGACCAATGAGACATTGATCAAGTGACTTTTATTCCCTTTTTAACGACCTCTCTTTGTTGTCAAGTGAATCGCTGCATCCGCTAAGTTAGCGACCCAGTCGTTAACTGAATCTGTCCTCCCCAGTTGACTCTGCTCGTCAGAAAGACGCAGAAAGGGGTCGCATGACTCCGACCGTCGTAAAGATGAATCAGCGGCCAAGCATCTGAAGTTTGATCCCATGGCCACGGGGATGCTGCCACGGTCGTAAGTGTGAAAAATAGCGACCCTTCAAAGTTACAACGGTGCCGAAAAAGCGATTTGGGACCATTTTTCACACTTACGACCATTGCAGCATCCCTACGTTCATGTGACCGCCCCGAGTCCTATGGAGGTAGGGCGGCATACAAATCAAATTAAATAAATAAATAAATAAATAAATGATCAACGTTCCAATGCTTGGCAACTGACTCGTACTTATGACGGTCGCAGTGTCCCCGGGGGGGGTGTCACGTGATCGCTTTTTGTGACCTCCTGACGAGCAAAATCAACGGGGAAGCCAGATTCACTTAACAACCAGGTTCCTAATTTAACAGCCGCAGCGATTCATTTAATAACCATGGCAAGCAAGGTCGTAGAATGGGGACAAGATTCACTTAACAAATATCTCGCTTAGCAGCCAAAATTTGCGGCTGTAAGTCAAGGTGTACCAGTACTTGTTTTCTTTATCTGTTTATTTATTTAATAGATTTTTTTTTAAGGCCGCCCAACTCAGATACAGTGGCATAACAATTCGTGGGACGGAGAACTGAATTGCTCCCTTCCAAGAATTTCTTAAATATCTATATTAATTTTTTTTTGAAGTTCCTGACGTGCCCCAGTTCTCTCCTGGCGAATTCATTGGTTGTCAGGCAGTTTGGGCCATTGGGTTTTACGACTGTTTTTTTAATAGACGTTTCCTCTAAAAGGAGAATATTAGTAGCTCAGGGTTGAAAGGAAGGGCCCTTGGTGCTCTCTGAACTTGGTTGTTTTCTTGCAGACGTCTTATTACCCAGCTAGGTAATGTCATCAGTGCTAGAAGGGAGTTGGAGTGCAAGAGGAGGAGGAGGAGGAGAAGAACTGTTGGGTCCTTGCTGCTCTCTGAGCTTGGATGTTTTCTTGTAGACGTTTCTTGACCCAACTAAGTAACACCATCAGTGCTAGAAGGAAGGAAGGAAGGAAGGAAGGAAGGAAGGAAGGAAGGAAGGAAGGAAGGAAGGGGAGGAGGAGGGTGACTGTGGGGTTCTTGGTGCTCTCTGAGCTTGGATGTTTTCTTGCAGACGTTTCATGACCCAACTAAGTAACACCGTCAGTGCTGGAAGGAAGGAAGGAAGGAAGGAAGGAAGGAAGGAAGGAAGGAAGAAGGAAGGAAGGAAGGAGAAGAAGGGAGGAGGAGGGTGACTGTGGGGTCCTTGCTGCTCTCTGAGCTTGGATGTTTTCTTGTAGACATTTCTTGACCCAACTAAGTAACACCATCAGTGCTAGAAGGAAGGAAGGAAGGAAGGAAGGAAGGAAGGAAGGAAGGAAGGGGAGGAGGAGGAGGGTGACTGTGGGGTCCTTGCTGCTCTCTGAGCTTGGATGTTTTCTTACAGACATTTCATGACCCAACTAAGTAACACCATCAGTGCTAGAAGGAAGGGGAGGTAGTAGGGTGGAGGAGGAGGGAAGTTGGGGTCCTTGCTGCTCTCCAGGCTTGGTGGTTTTCTTGCAGACGTTTCATGACCCAACTAAGTAACACCATCAGTGCTAGTTTCCTCTTTATAGAATATTTCATTTCCTCTTTATTAGAATAATTCTGAGGGTATTTTTTTCTTCTTCCTCCAGGATCTTTACAATGGACTCCAAGCCTTCCCTGTTAAACCCCACCGGACCCCTGCTGGTATCATCTGCGATTAAACAAGGACCGATGGATTTGCAGCAGCTTCAGCACCGGGCAGCCATCATACCACCCATGGTAATTGCTGGACAGATGGGAACTGTGTCTTCCCCTTTCTTCTTAAGCCTAGAAAAAGATCGAGAGCAGAGGCCTTGCCTAATTGACTTGTTTCTCAGCCATGGCAAATTTAAGAGGGGCGGACTTCCACTCCCAGAATTCCCCAGCTGGTATAGTTTATAATGGGTAGACTTCAACTCCCAGAAACCCCCGGCCAGCATGCTTTAAAATAAGTGTGCTTCACTTCCCAGAATTCCCCAACCAATATGCTTGAAGATGGGTGGACTTCCACTCCCAGAATCCCCCAGCCAGCCTGCTTTAAGAGGGGTGGGCTTCCACTCCCAGAATTCCCCAGCCAACGTGCTTTAAGAGGGGTGGACTTCCACTCCCAGAATCCCCCAGTCAGCCTGCTTTAAGAGGGGTGGACTTCCACTCCCAGAATCCCCCAGCCAGCGTGCTTTAAGAGGGGTGGGCTTCCACTCCCAGAATTCCCCAGCCAACGTGCTTTAAGAGGGGTGGGCTTCCACTCCCAGAATTCCCCAGCCAACGTGCTTTAAGAGGGGTGGGCTTCACTTCCCAGAATCCCCCAGCCAGGAATGCTTTAAGAGGGGTGGGCTTCCACTCCCAGAATCCCCCAGTCAGCCTGCTTTAAGAGGGGTGGGCTTCCACTCCCAGAATTCCCCAGCCAACGTGCTTTAAGAGGGGTGGGCTTCACTTCCCAGAATCCCCCAGTCAGCCTGCTTTAAGAGGGGTGGACTTCCACTCCCAGAATCCCCCAGTCAGCCTGCTTAAGAGGGGTGGGCTTCCACTCCCAGAATTCCCCAGCCAACGTGCTTTAAGAGGGGTGGGCTTCACTTCCCAGAATCCCCCAGTCAGCCTGCTTTAAGAGGGTGGACTTCCACTCCCAGAATCCCCCAGCCAATGTGCTTTAAGAGGGGTGGGCTTCAACTCCCAGAATCCCCCAGCCAGCATAAATTAAGGCTGAGGACTTCAGTTCCCAGAATTCCCCAGCCAGCATGTCTGATTTTCCTGACGATACACCAATAGTCCTCGACTTACAACCATTCATTTAACAACCATTCAAAATTGCAACCGAATGGAACAAAGTGACCTAGGACCCTCGCACTGTAGAATCCCCATGGTCACATGATCAAAATTTGGGGGCTTGGCAACCGGTTCACCTTTATGACAGGGTCGCCGTATCCTGGGGGTCACGTGATCCCCCCCCCCCGGCTAGTTTCCGAGAAACAAAGTCAGTGGAGGGGGCCAGGCTCGCTTAACGACCGCATGATTCATTTAGCAACGGGAGGGATTCGCTTTGCAACCGTAACAAAGAAGGTCGCAAAATTGGGAGCAGCTCACTTAAAAGCTAACTGCCTTCTTTAAACATGGAGGTTCTCGACCCAAATTGTGGGTCGTAGGGCGAGGACTACCAGTCCTTAAGGATTTTATTGATTGGTTTTATCCCCTGTCGTCCTCCAGGAACGGCTGCCCATGATCCCCGGCTTCCCCACTAGCGGCTACACGCTTCTCCATCAGCACATCAAGGCTATGCACAAGTCCAGCGTCTTGGAGGAACAGCAGCGCCAGAGGCAAGAGCAGATGGAGGTGGATTTCCGCAGGGCCTCCATCCCTGCGGCTCTTCGAAGAGCCCGAACATCGAGTGGGATGGTAGGTGAAGGGAAACACCCCCACACCCACACTCTACCCGAGGGCATCGTGGGAAGCTGCTTTGCGCTGATCCTGAGTCTCTGAGTCAGGGGCAGCCTCTGCCATCTCTTGCTGTGTGATCCATAAAATCAAGGGTTGGGAACATGTCAAAAAATTGCTAAGGCACTGTTGCTTAGGCTTGGCAAATTGAAGAGGGTTGGACTTCCACTCCAGAATTCCCCAGCCAGCAATGCTTTAAGAGGGGAGGACTTCCACTCCCAGAATCCACCATCCAGAATGCTTTAAAATGGGTGGATTTCCACTCCCAGAATTCCCCAGCCAGCATGCTTGAAGATGGGTGGACTTTCACTCCCAGAATCCCCCAGCCAGTATGCTTTAAGAGGGGTGGACTTCCACTCCCAGAATTCCCCATCCAGAATGCTTTAAGAGGGGTGGACTTCCACTCCCAGAATCCCCCAGCCAGTATGCTTTAAGAGGGGTGGACTTTCACTCCCAGAATCCCCCAGCCAGAATGCTTTAAGAGGGGTGGACTTCCACTCCCAGAATCCCCCATCCAGAATGCTTTAAGAGGGGTGGACTTCCACTCCCAGAATCCCCCATCCAGAATGCTTTAAGAGGGGTGGACTTCCACTCCCAGAATCCCCCAGCCAGCAATGCTTTAAGAGGGGTGGACTTCCATTCCCAGAATCCCCCATCCAGAATGCTTTAAGAGGGGTGGACTTCCACTCCCAGAATTCCCCAGCCAGCAATGCTTTAAGAGGGGCGGATTTCCACTCCCAGAATCCCCCATCCAGAATGCTTGAAGATGGGTGGACTTTCACTCCCAGAATCCCCCAGCCAGAATGCTTTAAGAGGGGTGGACTTCCACTCCCAGAATTCCCCAGCCAGCAATGCTTTAAGAGGGGTGGACTTCCATTCCCAGAATCCCCCAGCCAGCAATGCTTTAAGAGGGGTGGACTTCCATTCCCAGAATCCCCATCCAGAATGCTTTAAGAGGGGTGGACTTCCACTCCCAGAATCCCCCAGCCAGGAATGCTTTAAGATGGGTGGGCTTCCACTCCCAGAATCCCCCAGCCAGGAATGCTTTAAGAGGGGTGGGCTTCCACTCCCAGAATCCCCCAGCCAGGAATGCTTTAAGAGGGGTGGGCTTCCACTCCCAGAATCCCCCAGCCAGGATGCTTTAAGAGGGGTGGGCTTCCACTCCCAGAATCTCCCAGCCAGGATGCTTTAAGAGGGGTGGGCTTCCACTCCCAGAATCTCCCAGCCAGGAATGCTTTAAGAGGGGTGGACTTCCACTCCCAGAATCCCCCAGCCAGGAATGCTTTAAGAGGGGTGGGCTTCCACTCCCAGAATCCCCCAGCCAGGAATGCTTTAAGAGGGGTGGGCTTCCACTCCCAGAATCCCCCAGCCAGGAATGCTTTAAGAGGGGTGGGCTTCCACTCCCAGAATCTCCCAGCCAGCATGCTTTAAGAGGGTGGCTTCCACTCCCAGAATCCCCCAGCCAGGAATGCTTTAAGAGGGGTGGGCTTCCACTCCCAGAATCTCCCAGCCAGGAATGCTTTAAGAGGGGTGGACTTCCACTCCCAGAATCCCCCAGCCAGGAATGCTTTAAGAGGGGAGGACTTCCACTCCCAGAATCCCCCAGCCAGGATGCTTTAAGAGGGGTGGACTTCCACTCCCAGAATCCCCCAGCCAGGAATGCTTTAAGAGGGGTGGATTCCACTCCCAGAATCCCCCAGCCAGGAATGCTTTAAGAGGGCTGGACTTCCACTCCCAGAATCCCCCAGCCAGCCATGCTTTAAGAGGGGTTGACTTCCACTCCCAGAATCCCCCAGCCAGCCCGTCCCACACGTTTCTCTCCCGGGCTTCCTTCCACGGCTGCCTCTCGGCCTGGGCATCGGTCCAAACCCTGCAACCAGATGGAGACGGGGCCTGAGGTTTGATTTGCAGCCTTGCCAGCTGTTTGACTCCAGTCGAACAACCGGCTCTTAAGTTTCCCTGGGGGAGCCTGAGAAACCGGGCAGGCCGAGGGCACGTGCCAGGAAAATCCAGCCGGCGTTGTGCCAAGGCCGAAACCAGGGAGGCCCAACAAGGAACGAAGCTGTTCTAAAAATACAACTCGGTTTGCTGCGTGCCAACAGGGCCCTTAAACCATGTTTGGAATCGGGCATCACTTCAGAGGTTTTCGGCTCCTCCGGCGTAAATCAAGGGTGGCATCGCCGTTTCTCGTCGTGCCTGTTTTTGCCTGCCCGTTAGTCCTCGACTTACAACCATTCATTTAGTGACTGTTGGAAAGTGACCCCAGCACTGTGAAAAGTGACTTAGGAGTGTTTTTCACACTTAACGACCGTTGTAGCATGGGGGGGGGTAAGTGCTGGGAGAAAGACCTTTGCTTCGAAATGTGTCCAACGCCGATCTCGTCACGTTTTGAAGTAGTCGAGTCCCGAGTTACGACTGCACTCGGCAGCTGGCGTGTACAGGTAGTCCTCGACTTACGACCACAAATGAGCCGAACATTTCTCTTGTTCAGGGAGACGTTTGTTAAGTGAGTTTGGCCCCATTTTACGACCTGCCTTGCCGTAAAGTGAATTGCCGCCCTTGATAACTGTAAGTCAGATGGTCATTAAGTGAATCCGGCTTCCCCATCGATTTTGCTCGTCAGATGTTCGCAAAAGGGGATCCCGTGACCTTAGGACACAACGACGGTCGTAAATATGAGTCAGTTGCCGAGGGTCTGAATTTTGATCATATTTGTTAACGGGGATGTTAACATCGGTCGTAAGTGTGAAAAACGGTCACTGGTCGCTTTTTTCAGCGCCATTGTAACTTTGAACGGTCACTAAACGAAGTGTTGCAAGTCGAGGACTACCTGTTTTTTTATGAAATGGGTCATAAAATTGGGCAAAACTCGCTTAACAGCTGTCTCGCTTAGCAACAGAAACGTTGGGCTGAAATGCGGTCGTAAGACGAGGACTGCCTGTGGAGTGTTCTTTTTTCTTTGTTTCCTGTGTACATTTTTAAATATCTCATTTAGGTTTGTTGTTTTGTTTTATCTTTTTTTTTCCCTTTCTTTTTTGGAGTTCATCGTTTTAAGGACGTGAATTAAATCCTCCTCCTCCTTTAACGACACAATAATCCTGTGGAGGGTGGAGTCTGGGCAACTGAATGGGGCTGAGTGTTTACTTGAATGGAGCTGAGTGTTTTCATGGCCGGATGCCTTTCCTGTCGCCAATGCAAAGTTTTGTTCAGCAGATATATTCTCATCGTGTCTAGAGAGAGAGAAATATCTGCCTTTACCTAGGATCGAACTCATAGCCTCCTGATCGTGAGTTCGAGAGCTCCATCTCTAGGCCACCGCACCACTCAGGCCACCACACCAATCCTGGGAATGCTGTGACGGTCATAAGTGTGAGGATTGATCTTAAGTCACTTTTTTCAGGGTCATTGTAACTTCGAATGGTCGCTTAAATCATCTTTTAATGACCCCATCATCCCTTGCGGGGTGAAGTCTGGGCATCTGAATGGAGCTGAGTGGTTTACTGGCCGGATGCCTTTCCTGTCGCCAGGGCGGAGTTTTTTTTTTTTTCAACAGATATATTCTCATTGTGCCCAGAGAGAGAAATACCGTATTTTCCGGCGTATAAGACGACTTTTTAACACATGAAAATCTTCTCAAAAGTCGGGGGTCGTCTTACACGCCGGGGGTCGTTCTCCTGTAACCAGGCAGACCAGCCCGAAAGGCTCTGACGATCCAAGCTCTGACGATCCGCTAATCAGGCAACTCAGCTGGGATCGCCGGAGCCATGGAGAAGGGAAAAAGTTTTCCCCCTCCAGCTTGCTTCCCTTAGCTGCTAGTCGCAACGCTTGCCTTGCTTCCCTTGCCTGCAATCCATTCCATCAGCAAGCCACTCCCTGCCTGCAATCAAGCAGGACTTCAACTCCCAGAATTCCTCAGCCAGCAAAACGAAGCTGGCTGAGGAATTCTGGGAGTTGAAGTCTACAAGTCTTAAAGTTGCCAAGGTTGGAGACCCCTGTTCTATTGGGTAAGTTTTTTTCCCCCTTTGGGAGCTTTAAAAAAAAATAGTCAATTGGGGTTTTTTTTTAGTTGTTCTTTTTTAGACCTAGCCATTTAAAGTTTAGGAAGTTTTAAATTTAGCTTTCATATAAAAACTAAACTAAAATAAAATAATATTTGTGCAGCTTTCTGAGATTTAGTGTGTTTCTGTAGTGTTTCACTCTAACTACACAAGCACACAAAATCTCACAAAGCTGTATGTGGAATTTTGTGTGTGTAAAGTGTGAGAGTTGGTTTTTTGGGGGGGCTTTTTGTGGCTGTGTGAGGTTCCTGCTTGTTGCAGGGGCCATTTTGGGTCTAGCACAGCTGCTTTTACATTGTGGGCGAGCCAGTTGTGTTGTGTTGTGTGTGTGTAAAGTGTGAAAGTTGTTTTTTTGGGGGGCTTTTGGTGGCTGTGTGAGGTTCCTGCTTGTTGCAGGGGCCATTTTGGGTCTAGCACAGCTGCTTTTACATTGTGGGTGAGCCAGTTGTGTTGTGTTGTGTTGTGTGTGTGTAAAGTGTGAAAGTTGTTTTTTGGGGCTTTTTGTGGCTGTGTGAGGTTCCTGCTTGTTGCAGGGGCCATTTGGGGTCTAGCACAGCTGCTTTTTACATTGTGGGCGAGCCAGTTGTGTTGTGTTGTGTTGTGTTGTGTGTGTGTAAAGTGTGAAAGTTGTTTTTTGGGGGGCTTTCTGTGGCTGTGTGAGGTTCCTGCTTGTTGCAGGGGCCATTTTGGGTCTAAGCACAGCTGCTTTTACATTGTGGGCAAGCCAGTTGTGTTGTGTTGTGTTGTGTGTGTGTAAAGTGTGAAAATTGTTTTTTTGGGCTTTTTGTGGCTGTATGAGGTTCCTGCTTGTTGCAGGGCCATTTTGGGTCTAGCACAGCTGCTTTTACATTGTGGGTGAGCCAGTTGATGTTTTTTAATTTTTATTTGGTGTGCGTTGGAAGAGGGGCAGTCCTATACGGCGAGTATAGCCCAAACCCTATATTTTAACAGGAAAAGTCGGGGGTCGTCTTATACGCCGGAAAATACGGTATCTGCCTCTACCTAGGATCGAACTTCACAGCCTCCTGATTGTGAGTTCGAGAGCTCCACCTCAAAGCCACTGCACCACTCCTAAGGACGTGAATTAAATAAAAATAAAAAGTCTGTTTCTCGCTTGTTAACCGATTCTCTTCCTTTCCTCTTGCCAGCAAAGACAGTCGCCTACATGCCTTACGCCGATGTCAAAAGGGCCATGGATCAGGAAGCCCAGATGCAAAACGCAGCGGCCCGATCGGGCTCGCCTTACCGCCTCTCACCCCGGGACATGAACAAGGCTTCGCCCCAGCCGGACATGAATGCCGCCCGTTACAGTGTCCCTCCAGGTAAAATTCTCGCGCCCTTCCGCTTCCCTCGGCTGCTTTTGGGGGACGAGGAGTGGTAGTGGCCAGGGAGTTGCAATTCGGGGTCCTTGGTGCTCTCTCAGCTGGGTGGTTTTCTTGCAGACGTTTCATGACCCAGCTAGCTAGTGTCATCAGGGATAGAAGGGTTTGCGGAGAGGAGAGGAGAGGGAGGACGGTGGGGTCCCCGTTGCTCTCTAACCTTGGTTGTGTTTTTTTTGCAGACGTTTCAGTACCCAGTTAGGTAACATCATCAGTGCTAGAAGAGAGGGGTTTTTTAGAATTTAGAATAACAGAGTGGGAAGGGACCTTGGAGGTCTTCTAGTCCAACCCCCTGCTTAGGCAGGAAACCCTACACCGCTTCAGACAAATGGTAATAATAATAATAATAATAATAATAATAATAATAATAATAATAATAATAATAATTTATATATATATATATATATATATATATATATATATATAATATTATTGTTATTGTTATTGTTATTGTTATTTCTATACTGCCCTTCTCACGAAGGACTCAGGGCGGTGTACAGCCTGATTAAAAGCACAAAGACCAACAAAATTTAAAAATAATTAAAATTATGAAATAATTGGCTCAATTATAAAACCCCCAAATTTAAAATCCCACATTTAAAACCAATTAAAATCCAACATCCAACATCCTCTTTAAAACTTCCAGTTTTAACTTCCAGTTATCGTTTTGTGGAGAGGAGGAAGAGGAGGAGGAGGAGGAAGACGTATGCGGGGTCTTTGGTGCTCTCTGAGCTTATTTTCATAGAGATGTTTCATGACCCAGCTAGGTAACATCATCAGAGCTAGAAAGGAGAGGGGTTTGTGGAGGAGGAGGAAGAGGAGGAGGAGGAAGAAGAGAGGAGGAGGAGGAGGACTGTGGGGTCCTTGGTGCTCTCTGAGATTGGATGTTTTCTAGCGAACATTTCATGACCCAACTAGGTAACATCATCAGTGCTAGAAGAGAGGGGGGTTTGGTCTGTTTTTTACAAGTGGCTTGATATATGGGCATTGATTGGAGTGTCCTTTTCTTCATGGTAATTCCTTGATTAGGCTGTTGTTTGCAGAGTCTTTGGGAGTTGGGCGGCATAGAAATGCAATAAATTAAATTAAATTAAATTAAAATTTAGCCACAGCATATCAACAGGGAGCAAACCACTCTCCCTTCTAGCACTGATGATGTTACCTAGCTGGGTCATGAAACATCTGCAAGAAAACAGCCAAGCTTAGAGAGCACCAAGGACCCCACAGTCCTCCTCCTCCTCTTTCACCTCTTCCTCCTTCTCTTCCTCCTCCTCCTCCTCCTCTCCACAAACCCCCCTCCCTTCTAGCACTGACGATGTTACTGTCAGCACTTCAAGCTGCATTTACTCTAGTGCTGACATAAGAAGGAGAAGCGGAGGCGTCTGGAAAGGGACTTTTGACTTTTCACCTACTTATTTTCCCTGGAGATAATATCCCCTAGGAGATGGGATGGGAGGGGGGAAATTCCTTTGAGCTGGAGCAGTAGATTAGGGGTAGAGTGACTTGGAAGATGGCCAATGAGTGCAGGGGAGTGGGGAAAGGAAAGGGAGGGTTTTGGGTCTGGAAGTCAGTGTTGGCTACGATGGAGTCGGAGTTAGAATGTCGTGCTTAATAAATGGGAGTTTTTTTCATCAAAGACTTTGTTTGAAATGCAATTTATTTGAGACGACCTCGAAACCTGACAGTTACCTAGTTGGGTCAGGAAATGTCTGCAAGAAAACTATCAACCTCGGAGAGCATCAAGGACCCCACAGTCCTTCCTTCCTTCCTCCTCCTCCTCCTCCTCCTCCTCCTCCTCCTCCTCCTCCTCCTCCTCCTCCTCCTCCTCCTCTCCACAACCCCCCCTCCCTTCTAGCACTGAAGATGTTACCTAGTTGGGTCACGAAACGTCTGCAAGAAAACCCACCCAGCTCGGAGAGCATCAAGGCCCACTATAGTTCAACCCTGAGCTCCCGATAATTCTCTTCCGTCGCTAATTTATCCTCCGTCTGTTTTACTTTCTCCCAAGTCCTGCAGCCGGCTCCCCATCAAGTCATCACCAATCTCCCGGAAGGGGTCCGGCCCCCGCCTACCCGGCCCACCCGGCCGCCCCCACCTCTGATCCCCTCCTCCAAGACGGTGCTGCCTTCCGAGAAGCCCTCCTTCATCATGGGAGGCTCCATTTCACAAGTAAGCAGAAGAGAGAAAAGAAATACGATTTGCTTCGGTCGGTCATCTCTGGTCCCAGAAGCTCCAGGTTGAATGGTGGAAAGCAGTCGTGGACAAAATTGTGGAAACCTTTTTTTTGGGAAAAGTTGTATTTTTTGAGGTTTGATGGCTAATCACACCACTTTTTTTTTTTTTTTTTTTTTTTTTGAGTTTCAAGATAATCCTATTCCACTGCTGGAATGGCCTGGGAATAGCCCAGATTTTTTTTTTTTTTTTTTTAATTTGATTTATATGCCGCCCTTCTCCGGAGACTCAGGGCGGCTTACAGTGCGTTAAGCAATAGCCTTCCTACTTTTGTATATTTATACAAAGTCAGCTTATTGCCCTCACAAACCGGGTCCTCATTTCACCTACCTTAGAAAGGATGGAAGGCTGAGTCGACCTTGAGCCTGGGGAGATTCGAACTTGCAGTAATTGCAAGCAGCAGTTGTTAATAACAGTGTGCTTTAGTCCATTGTACTACATGCTCTTGTATGTATGTATGGATGGATGGATGGATGGATGGATGGATGGATGGATGGATGGATAGATAGGTATAGATGATAGATAGATAAATAGATATAGATGATAGATGGATAGATGGATAGATACATAGATAGATAGACAGACAGACTGATAGATGATTGATAGATTTTTAAAAAAAATTTGATTTATATGCTGCCCTTCTCCGGAGACTCAGGGCGGCTTAAAGTGCGTTAAGCAATAGCCTTCATCCTTTTGTATATTTATACAAAGTCAGTTTATTGCCCCCACAATCTGGGTCCTCATTTCACCTACCTTAGAAAGGATGGAAGGCTGAGTCGACCTTGAGCCTGGTAAGATTCGAACCTGCAGTAATTGCAGGCAGCTGTGTTAATAACAGGGTGCTTTAGACCACTGTACTACCAAGGCTCTAACCCAATGGAAAATCTATGGAGCCAGCTAAAGAAACCTGTTATTTATTTATTATTTAAATTTCTATAACCGCCCTTCTCCTTTCGGACTCAGGGCGGTGAACAGCCAAGAATAAAACATTTGTACACAAAAGTTAAAATAGTTTTAAAATAATTAAATAAAGCTTGGCCCATAATTTAAAACATTTCAATTAAAATCAGTATCAATTTTTAAAAACCAATATAAAATCAGGCCAGCCCGGCTAACTGAAAGAAATAGGTTTTAAGTCCGGAGGTCTGGGATCACTCGTATCTCTGAGGGTAGATTGTCCCAGAGGGTAGGCGCCATCACAGTCAGAAGCTTGTTAGTCAGAAGCGACCCTGCTAATATTAATATTAAACCCAGTTCATAGAAGCCATCATTCAATCTTGGTTTCACATTAGAACAGCTGCAGAACTAAAAGACTTGGTTCCCTCCATGGGAAGACGTCGTAAGGCCGTCATTCAGGCTGAAGGTTACCCAACTAAGAATTAACTGACATGGGGAACAATTTTGCATATCTCGTTCTTTTCTACGTGTTTCACTTTTCTTCTTTCTACTGTAACTGCTATTCTAATAGCAAATCCTTCCTAAAAGTGATTGCATGACATTATTGATTAAATTATCTTTCCATCGATATATAATTTTATGGTACTACTCCAAAAAAAAAAAAAGTGGTGTTATTATCTAGTTTTAAAAAAATACACTTTTCCCAAAAGGTTTCCACAATTTTGGCCACTATCGTAGGTAGTCTTTGACTTACGACCGTTCATTCTGCTACCATTGGAAGTCACGGTGGCGCTTGTTCTGGTTATTGCAGCGCCCCTGCAGTCTTGGGGGCGAAATTTCACTGCTTTTTTTTTTTTTTTTTTGAAATTTGATTTATATGCCGCCCTTCTCCGGAGACTCAGGGCGTCTTACAATGCGTTAAGCAATAGCCTTCATCCTTTTGTATATTTATACAAAGTCAGCTTATTACCCCCACAAACTGGGTCCTCATTTTACCTACCTTAGAAAGGATGGAAGGCTGAGTCAACCTGGAGCCTTGGAGAGATTCGAACCAGCAGTAAATTGCAGGCAGCTGTGTTAATAACAGGGTGCATTAAACCACTGTACTATCAAGGCTCTTACTGCTTGGCAGCCGCCCCACACTTAACAACCACAGGGATGCTTTAACTCTCCCCGCCTCCCCCCCCCCCCCCAAACTCTCTCCTACCCTCTGCAGGTAGTCCTCGACTTAGGACCAAAATTTCTTGTTGCTAAGTGAGATTTCTGTGAAGTGAGTTTTGCCTCACTTTGACAACATTTTCCACAATTGTTAAGTGAACCGTGCAGTCATTAAGCAAATCTGGCTTCCTTCCTTGGCTTTGCTTGTCGGAAGCCGGCTGGGAAGGTGAGAGAGCAGTGGTGAAATCTAAAATTCGTTACTACCGGTTCTGTGGGCGTGGCTTGGTGGGGGGGTAATGTGACTGGGTGGGCGTGGCCAATTTTTATTTTTTGTTTTACTTTTAAAACCATTTTTTCTACCACCTCTTCGGCGAAGAGGTTGTAAAAAAATGCTTTCAAATGGCTCTGACGATCCCAGCTGAGTTGCCTGATCAGCAGAGGCTTTTTAAAAAAAGCCTTTGCCCATCAGGCAACTCAGCTTGGATCATCAGAGGCATTCAAAAGAAATATAGGGTTTTTTTCTTTTAAAAGCCTTTGACGATCCCAGCTGAGCCGCATGATCATCAGAGGCTTTTTTTTTTTTTTAACTTTTAAAAGCATTTTTTCGGCCGAAGAGGTTGTAGGAAAAAATGCTTTTAAAAGTAAAAAAAAAAGCTTCTGATGATTGTGCGGCTCAGCTGGGCATGGGGGGGGCAGGGATTTTTGCTACCGGTTCACCCGCCTCCATCGCTACCGGATCGGGCGATCCGGTCTGAACCGGGAGCATTTCACCCCTGTGTGAGAGAGAGAGAGACAGAGAGAGAAGGGAGAGATGGAGAGAGAAGAGAGAGGGGGAGGGAGAGAGAGAGAAGACGGTGAGAGAGAAAGAGAGATGGAGTGGGAGGGAGGGAGGGAGAGAGAGAGAGAAGACAGAGAAAGAGGAGGGAGAGATAGAGAGAGAGAGAGAGATACAGATAAATAGAGATGATAGAGGTAGATACAAAGATGGAGACACAAGTGGGAGGGGAGAGAAAGAGAATCCATACAGGTGGTCCTCGACTTAATGACCGCAATTGAGCCCAAAAGTTATATTACTAAGTGAGACATTAATTAAATGAGTTTTGCCCTATTTTACGACCTTTCCCACCACAGTTTTTAAGCGAATCCCTGCAGTTGTTCAATTAGTCACCTGGTTGTTAAGTGAATCCGGCTTCCTCCTTTGACTTTGCCTGTAAGGAGGTTGCATCACGTGACCCTGGGGGAGGGAGGGGACACTGCGACGGTCATAGCTACGAGTTAGTCGCCAAGTGTCCGACTTTCGACCACGGGGATCCTGCAGCCACAGTCCTAAGTGTGGAAAACGGTCATCGGTCAATTTTTCTTCAGTCCTGTCGTAACTTCGGTCCCTAAATGAATGGTTATAAGCCGAGGACTACCTGCGTGCCCCTCGGGCACCCTGACCTGTGTGTGCCCTGCCATCCCGGCTCACCTGACCCAGCGTGCCACCTTTGCAAGGCGGTTGCTGGCCGCGCAATTTCCCCCCCCCCCCAAGTTTACACCCTGTAATTTCCTTGCAAAACCCAGCTGCCTTGCAAAAGGGGCAGGCCAGGCCTTATCCACAGCGGGAGCAAAGAGGTCAGCTGGGGTGGCCAAGGGCAGGGCCTCACTGGCCTCGGAGTCCCTGCGGTGAGCTCGACCATGACCGGGGCATCCCGGGACACTGTAGCTTTGCGTTAAGCTGCTGGGCTGGGGCAGCTGAGGCTTCAGCTTGTGCCGCGAGTCGAGGGTTGCGTGCAGCCCCACAGCCGAGGTGCGCCAAGAAGTCCCTGAGCCCTTGCAGGTGTGGGGGCTGCTTGTCGCCTGGCAGAGCCAAAAGGGCACAGATGGGGGGGAGAAATGCGGGAGGGAGGGCAATTGAAGAAGAGGCAGCTTTTTTATTTTATCGAGGCTGGGGGCTGGGAAGGTCCTTAATTAATGGCCATGGGATTTGGTGAGTGCCAGTAATGGGGAGGGCCCTGAAAGCGTTCCCACTGCCTTTTCACGAATTTTAAACATCCCTTGTTACTTTAAATTTTATATACTGGTTTTTGCTTTTAATGTTTTATTGTACGTTGCTTTTTGAGAGAGATGGGAGGTTCTTAAATTAATTGGATGGATGGATGGATGGATGGATGGATGGATGGATGGATGGATGGAGAGAGAGAGATAAATATATGAACAGACTGCCAACAGAGAGATACAATTGATAGATAGAAGATAGTTAAATAGAGATAGACTGAGTGACTGACACACACAGAGAGAAGGATGATAATGATGACAATAAATAGAGACAGTAGGGACATAGATGATAGACAAATAGATAGATATAGATAAACCAGAGAGAGAGAAGATGATAGACAGATAAATACGGATTGACTGACAGAGATGATAGATGAATAGATGATAGGCAGGCAGATGATTGATTGATAGAAGAGATAGATAGATAGGTAGGTAGGTAGGTAGGTAGATAGGCAGATGATTGATTGATAGATAGATAGATTGATGATTGATCGATAGATGATAGATAGATAGAGACAGATAAATATATAAACAGAGAGATACATCTGATAGAAGATAGATAAATAGAGATAGACTGAGTGACTGACACACACACAGAAAAGGATGATAATTATGATGATAGACAGAGACAGTAGGTACATAGATGATAGATAATTATATAGATGAGAGAGAGAGAGAAGATGATAGACAGATAAATATGGATTGACTGACAGAGATGATAGATGGATAGATGATAGGCAGGCAGATGATTGATTGATTGATAGATAGACAGACAGATGATTGCTAGATAGATAGATAGATAGATAGATAGATAGATATAGACAGACAGACAGACATAAATATAGATAAATAGATGGAGGGAAGAAAGACAGATTGACAGACAGATAGGCATGGAGAATTCAGATTGCTCTTCGTATAGATAATCTGTACCAAAACTGGTGTCTCCAGCACACGCTGTATTTCAAACAGCAGAGTTCCCAGCCCACCTGACCAGCAGCCCACACGCCCGCCCCTAGAAACGAAGCGGGTCACACCTGCGCTGCCTCCAGGGTAACTTGCGACCCGTTCCGTATTCAGCCCACCTGCGGGATTTCTCCGTCGCCCTACCACCAGGATCGCAGGTGCATTCATTCCAGCTGCAGCCTGTCCCGGCACGTAATTATCTCACCTCTCAAAATGTGCTTTTCCTCCCACTCGTAGGGGACACCGGGCACTTACCTGTCTCACAGTCAGAGCTCTTACGGCCAGGAACCGGCCAAACCACCTGGAGGCTCCATTTCGCTCGGCCTGCCAAGGCAGCAGGATTCCAAGTCAGGTAAATAACTGAGGAGACGAGGACGGACACGGCCTTGGCTTCTACGCAGGTGTGCAGAAAAGCGGGCTCCTTGGCCTTCAAAAGACCAGTTAGATGTGAGTGATGGTCTTAAGATGGAAACATAGCAACAGCAATAGCACTTGGACTTATATACCGCTTCACAGGGCTTTTACAGCCTTCTCTAAGTGGTTTACAGAGTCAGCCTCTTGCCCCCAACAATCTGGGTCCTCATTTGACCCACCTCGGAAGGATGGAAGGCTGAGTCAACCTTGAACTGGTCAGGACTGAACCCCTGGCTGTGGGCAGAGTCAGCCTTTAATACGGCATTCCAACCACTGCGCCATCATGGCAAGGAAAGGAAGGAAGGAAGGAAGGAAGGAACGAAGGGAGAAAAAGAGAAGGAAGGAAGCAATAGCATTTACACTTAGATATTGTCCTATAGTGCTTTACGTATTTTCCGAGTGGTTTACAAAGTCAGCCTCTTGCCCCCCAACAATCTGGGTCCTCATTTTACTGACCTCGGAAGGACGGATGGCTGAGTCAAACGTGAGCCGGTCAGGATCGAACTCCTGGCTGTGGGCATAATCAGCCTGCAATACTGCATTCTAACCACTGCATCATCATGGCAAGAAAACAGGGAAGGAAGGAAGGAAGGAAGGAAGGAAGGAAGGAAGGAAGGAAGGAAGGAAGGAAGGAAGGAGAAAAGGGAGGGGGAGAAAGAAGGAAAGGAAGGAAGGAATAGCAATAGAAATTAGACTTATATACCGCTTCACCGTGCTTTAAGAGTTTACAAAGTCAGCATTTTGCCCTCAACAATCTGGGTCCTCAATTGACCGACCTCGGAAGGACGGAAGGCTGAGTCAAGCTTGAGCCGGTCAGGATCGAACTTCCTGGCTGTGGGCAGAGTTTAGCCTGCAATGCTGCATTCTGACCACTGCACCCCCCGTGGCTCTTAAATGGGTTTCTGGGCAGGCCTGGGTTTTAGAATTGGGGGTTAGTGGTTAGGAAAATGGGACCCCTAAGCCAAGATCCAACTTACATATGCGTGCTGTAGGGTTTCCTGCCTGAGCAGGAGGTTGGACTAGAAGACCTCCAAGATCCCTTCCAACTCTGGTTATTCTATGATGGATACTCTGAGGCTGTGTGGGATGAAATAGTTTGGAAGCCAGTGGCGTGTATCTTAAAACATCTCCTTGCTTTCTTTGAAGTTTCCCTGCCCTACATCAAGCAAGAGGAATTTTCACCCCGGAGCCAAAATTCACAACAGCCCGAAGGCCTGTTGGTAAGAGCTCAGCACGAGGGAGTCGTCCGAGGTAAGCCGAGCTTGAATTAAGGAAGAAAATGTGCGTTCTTGAGATCGTCTTGAGTCCGTCTCTTCAGTACGTCCTGTTCCGTAGGGTCCGCGGTGCTCTCCGAGCTGGGTTGTTTTCCTGCAGCTGTCCCTTTACCCAACTAGGTTACATCATCAGGGCTAGAAGGAAGCGGGGTTTGCTCTCCGTTTATGCAGAATGGCTTGCTCTGTCGGCGTGGGTGGGGCTGAGGTTTCTCAATATTTATTCAGCATAGGGCCTGGGTACCTGCGGGACCGTCTTCTGCCGCCGATAGCCTCCCACCGGCCAGTTCGCTCCCACAGAGAGGGACTCCTCAGGGTGCCGTCGGCCGGCGACCCCCAGGGAGAGGGCCTTCTCTGTGGCAGCTCCTGCCCTCTGGAACAACCTGCCCCTGGAGATACGTAGGGTACCAGATCTCCGTGCTTTTCGCCATGCCCTCAAAACTTTCTTATTTCATCAAGCTGGGCTGGCGTAAAACACCCCCCCCCCTTTAGATATTTTTAATTGTAAATGGATTTTAGTCGGGAGGTTTTAAATTTTGGGCCAAAATTTGTTTAATTCTTTTAAAATTTAAAATTTTGTATTGGAATGTTTTTTTATTCTAGGCTGTGCACCGCCTTGAGTCCAGCAGGAGAAGAGCGGTATAAAAATTTAATAAAATAAATAAATAAATAAATTATTAGTTTGATTTATATGCTGCCCTTCTCCGGAGACTCGAGGTGGCTTACAATGCGTTAAGCAATAGCCTTCATACTTTTGTATATACCTGCTTAGTAGGGCTTTCAGGCCCCCCCTAAGCGGTGTTCTTTTTTTTTAATACAAAGTCAGTTTATTGCCCCCACAATCCGGGTCCTCATTTTACCTACCTCGGAAGGATGGAAGGCTGAGTCAACCTTGAGCCTGGTGAGATTTGAACTCGCAGTAATTGCAGGCAGGTGGCAGCTAAGTGCTACTTAACAGCACTTTAGCCCGCTGCTCCACCAAGGCTCAATAGACAGACTGTCAGCCATCGGTGGACATGCAAAAGCCCTTAGGACTCATATACCACTTCACAGGGCTTTTAGAGCCCTCTCTAAGCGGTTTACAGAGTCAGCCTCTTGCCCCCAACAATCTGGGTCCTCATTTGACCCACCTCGGAAGGGACGGAAGGCTGAGTCAACCTTGAGCCGGTCAGGATTGAACTTCCTGGATGTGGGCAGAGTTAGCCTGCAATACTGCGTTATAACAACTGTGCTACCACGACTTCCTTCCTTCTGCTTGTTTTCCTTCCTTCTCATCTCCTTTCCTTCTCATCTTCCTTCCTTTCTTCCTTCCTTCCTTCTCTCCTTTCTTCCTTCCTTGATTGATTGATTGATTCATTCATTCATTCATTCCCTCCCTCCCTCCCTTCCGAAGCAATTGCACTTATATACTGCTTCACAGTGCTTTTACAGTCTCTAAGTGGTTTACAGAGTCAGCCTCTTGCCCCCAACCATCTGGGTCCTCATTTGACCCACCTCGGAAGGGACGGAAGGCTGAGTCAACCTTAAGGTGGTCAGGATCGAACTCCAGGCAGAGTTAGCCTGCAATTCTGCATTATACCAACTGTAGCACCACTCCTTCCTTCCTTCCTTCCTTCCTTCCTTCCTTCCTTCCTTCCTTCCTTCCTTCCTTCTTTCCCTCTCTCCCTCCCTCCCTCCTAATAGCCCTTAGACCTATATACCACTTTATACTGCTTTACAGCCCTCTCTAAGCGGTTTACAGAGTCAGCCTCTTGCCCCTCAACAATCTGGGTCCTCATTTTACCAACATCAGAAGGACGGAAGGATGAGTCAACCTTGAGTTGGTCAGGATCGAGCTGCTAGCAGTGGGAATGCAGAGTTAGCCTGCAATACTGCATTATAACAACTGTACCACCACGGCTTCCTTCCTCCCTCCCTCCCTCCTAATAGCCCTTAGACTTATATACCGCTTCACAGTGCTTTGCAGCCCTCTCTAAGCAGGTTACAGAGTCAGCCTCTTGCCCCCAACATTCTGGGTCCTCATTTTACCGACCTTCTACCAAGGGAAAAACCCTATCCCCACCAACACTGCCAGGCAAACTACTGTATATAAACTGAGAGCAACTCCCCACTCCCCTTCTAGCACTGATGATGTTACCTAGTTAGGTCATGAAACGTCTACCAAAAAACCCCCAAGCTCGGAGAGCACCAAGGAGCTCACAGTCCAATTTTAAGTTATAGATACTCTATTCTATGGGCATCTTGTTCCGCCCCCACGCCTCAATTCTTCAGCTCTGCCTCCACAAAATTTCCATTGCTAAGCGAGAGCGTTGTTAAGTGAGTTTTTGCCCCCCCCCCATTTTACGACCTTCCTCGCCACCGTTGTGAAGGGAGTCCCTGCAGTTGTTAAGTGAGTAACACGGTGGTTCAGCGCATCTGGCTTCCCCGTCGACTTTTGCTGGACAGAAGGTCGCAAAAGGGGATCGCCGGGGATGCTGCGACCGTCATAAATATGACTCAGTTGCCAAGTGGCTGGATTTTAATCCCCTGATCCTGGGGATGCTGCTAGGGTCGTAAGTGTGAAAAACGCTCATAAGTCTCTCTTTTCAGTGCCATTGTAACTTTAAATGGTCACTAAACAAATTGTTGTAAATTGAGGACTACCTGTAGCTCGGGGGGGGGCCAAACACGGCCCCTGGGCCAGATCCGGCCCGCGATGTGGTTGGATCCAGCCCGCAGGGCTCTCTTGGAAAATGTATAGGGCCGGCCAGTGTGGCTTCAGCCCGGTCTACCCAGTGCAAAGAGGAAACATGCCAGCAGTTTGGGTAGTGGTGTCAAAACTGGCCACACCCACCCAGTTGGCCACGCCCACCCAGTTGGCCACGCCCAGTGAGTGGCATCAAGCTGGCCATGCCCACCCAAGCCCCCCCCCTCCGAAGTCAACGACAGCCTTGATGCGACCCTCAATGAAATTGAGTTTTGACACTTTTGTTGGGCATCCTACCGGAAAAATATGATATAAAAAAAAACCCTACATATTTGATTTTACACGTACTGACTGCGGCTCTGATTGTATTTGCGCAACAATGGAAGATTGAGGCGATCCCGTCAGATGAGAGGGCAATTCAGAAAATAACGGAATGCGCAGAAATGGACAGATTAACGCTTATCATGAAGGACAGAGAAGATAACTGAATATTTTCCGACGTGGGAGGTATTTTATCAACAGCTAGAGAATAGAAACAGAAGCTGGGAAAGAGGAGATATAAGAAAAGAAAATGTTACGATGGAGAGTCGTTTATGACGATGTTATGTACTATTGTAAACTATATTGATAAATAGTTATATTATTTTTTAAAAAATAATATTGATTAAATTTCCAAAGATTAAAATACACAGTACAAAAAGAAACTTAATACACAAAAAAAAGCAAGAAAAACACACCACACACACAAAACACCCAAAAAATATAAACAAACAAGCATATCAAAATTTCAATACTATTAACAACTTTTCTGCATCGATATCTCTAGCCTATTTAACCTCTTCACACAAATTCTACTTCTAAATATCTGTATCTTAAACTTACATCTTTATCTTGACTTCTATTTACAATTCGATCTCATAACGAAAACATCCCTTAAGTTTCATGTTTACTCTCCAACCAGGAATACCATTTTTTTCCATATTAAATAGTACTCGGTGTCCTCCCTCTCCTTCATTTCCATAGATAATCTGTCCATCTCTGCACATTTGTATATTTTTTTAATTATGATTTGATCTGGAGGGGTGTCTAGTTGTTTTCAATTTTGTGCTATCACAATTCTACTTGCCCTTAGTATGTGTAATATGATATATTGTATACTTTTCTGCATTTTCCCTTCCAGAATACCCAGGAGAAACAATTCCGTCTTTCTTTCTATCTTCTGCCCTGTTATTTCATCCAGCCATTTTTTTAATCTTGTCCCAAAATTTCCTAATCTTAGGACAAGTCCACCACATGTGATAGAATGTCCCTTGTTTGTGTCCACACCTCCAACAATTCGGAGATAGTTACTGTATATTATTAATGTCATTGTAACAAATACAACAACAAATATACGAACGATGAATTTTTAAAGAATTGAACCCAGTTCACGGCCCTGTTCAATGGAGATGAAAAGTATTATAAATAAAATAAATAAAACATGAAAAAAAATTGAGTTTGACACCCCTGCTGTAGCTGGTTCCATTACATCTGCAGGTCCATCCTCACCCTTGTCCCCTCTTCCGCTTCCCTGCAGGTACGACCACCATCCAAGAAGGGAGCATCACTCGGGGGACTCCCACCTGCAAAGTTTCCATGGAAGCGATGCCTGCTTTGCGTGGCTCCATCACTCAGGTATTCCCACCTTGCTCCATCTGGTTTCCCCGTTGACTTTGCTTGTCAGGAGTTTGGAAAAGGGGATCTTGTCAGGATTCCAAGTAACAGACCCAACGCAATCAAACCTCCGAGGCCTAGGCCTTCCTAAAACTACAGATTTATTACCGCGTTTCCCCAAAAATAAGACCGGGTCTTATATTAATTTTTGCTCCAAAAAAACGCATTAGGGCTTATTTTCTGGTTAGTCTTATTTTTTGGGAGAAAATACAGTACTAAATGCCTCCGTCTGCCTGACAATCTTAACTGGGGTTTATTTTTAGGGTAGGGCTTATATTACGAGCATCCTGAAAAATCATGCTAGGACTTATTTTCCGGTTGGGTCTTATTTTCGGGGAAACAGGGTAGGTATGTCATGTTGGCACATCTGGTGAAAACCCGACTCTGAACTTCCCGCGGTTTTCCCCACCCAAATTAAAAGTCAAAAGTTCTTTTCCCCCCATTCCACATGTCCATCACAGGGTCCAATCCAGGGGTGAAATGCTCCCGGTTCGGACCGGATCGCCCGATCCGGTAGCGATGGCGGTGGGTGGTTCGGAGAACCGGTAGCAGAAATCCCTGCCCCCCCCCACCCCCACATGCCCAGCTGATCATCAGCTTTTTCTACAAAATGCTTTTAAAAGTTCAAAAAAAAAAAGCCTCTGATGATCGCGCGGCTCAGCTGGGATCATCAGAGGCTTTTAAAATCAGAGGCTTTTAACCTCTTCGGCCGAAGAGGTTGTAGAAAAAATGCTTTTAAAAGGAAAAAAAAAGTTGGCCACGCCCACCCAGTCACATTACCCCCACCACCACCAAGCCACGCCCACAGATAGTAACAATTTTTACATTTCACCACTGGTCCAATCCGGCCACAGCCCCAACTCCAAGTTGGGGTTCTGATCCAGCCTTAGCAGAAGCAAGAAATAGACTCCTTGTCACGAAAACCCCCTCTTTATTTACCTCTTGTGAATTAATGGCATTCACAACGTCCGGACAAGAGTCCTTCAAGGAGTTAACGGCAACAACAGTTAACTTATCAGTTCCTTGCGATAATTGCAAGGTCGTGAGCTCCCAGCCGAAAGGCTGCCAATTAAGTTCTGGCAATCAGTCTTTGAGGCACGAAACACAATGAGCAAAATCTTCAGCAATACAAACGGTTGTCTCCTACGACCACCACTCCCCTTTCCTTCTATTTATTCTCCAGCCAGGGAGGGGCCATTCAGCGTCCATGTGTGCCTTGCTTCCCGGGTTGACTCCTTGTCCTCCGTTGTGCACCTCTCCTAACTGCTCTGCGCATACATGAATCTGGAACAGGCCCCAGCTATTCTTCCTTCTCATTCATCTCAGTATATAAGTGCAATTGCTTCGGAAGGGAGGGAGGGAATGAATCAATCAATCAATCAAGGAAGGAAGAAAGGAAAGAAGGAAGGAAGGAAGGAAGATGAGAAGGAAAGGAAATGAGAAAGAAGGGAAACAAAGAGAAGGAAAGAAGGAAGGAAAGAAGGAAAATAAGCAGAAGGAAGGACGTCGTGGTGGCACAGTTGTTATAATGCAGTATTGCAGGCTAACTCTGCCCACTGTCAGGAAGTTCAATCCTGACTGGCTCAAGGTTGACTCAGCTTTCCATCCCTTCCGAGGTGGCTCTGTGCATACGTGAATCTGGAACAGGCCCCAGCTGTTCTTCCTCCTCACTCATCTCAGTATATAAGTGCAATTGCTTTGGATGGGAGGGAGGGAGGGAATGAATGAATGAATCAATCAATCAATCAATCAAGGAAGGAAGGAAGGAAAGAAGGAAGGAAGGAAGGAAGGAAGGAAGATGGGAAGGAAAGGAAATGAGAAGGAAGGGAAACGAGCAGGAAAGAAGGAAGGAAAACAAGCAGAAGGAAGGAAGTCGTGGTGGCACAGTTGTTATAATGCAGTATTGCAGGCTAACTCTGCCCACATCCAGGAAGTTCAATCCTGACTGGCTCAAGGTTGACTCAGCTTTCCATCCCTTCTGAGGTGGCTCTGCTCATATGTGAATCTGGAACAGGCCCCAGCTGTTCTTCCTCCTCACACATCTCAGCCTTCAAAGGCAGCTGCCTCTCCGGTGGCTGGGAAATGTCGGACGACCCTGGCTCTATCTCTGCGTCCGACGCAGAGCATCCATCAGAGCCTTCCCCAGACTCCAGAACTGGCCCAAGCTCCTCCCCAAACTCCTCATCGTCCGAGTCTGCAGCCAGCTCCGCTGGCAGCTGGCGGGCCACAAAAGTTAGTTTCAGTCCACGCTTCCCCAGCACCTGGTGGGAACGTCCTTGGTTCCCAGCAGAAAGAATTTTATTTTGGCTACAATTCCCCAGCTATCTCTATTCCCCCCTCCCTCCCGTTCCCACAGCTCCAAGCAGCGTAGCTGTGGCAGTCCTGAAGACGCTCCCAAAATGGCTTCGGGGTTGACAGGATCACATGAACCTGAGGCCCTGTGACCGTCGTAAATATGAGTCCGTTCCCCCAAAACATCTGAATTTTGATCTCGTGATTATGGAGAAAGCTGCAAAGGTGGTAACCGGAAAAGGTCACATTTTTCCACGCCGTTGTAGCTTTGAACGGTCGCTCAATGACCTGTTTTGTAAGTCAAGGACTATATCTGTATAGGCAAGGTACAATACAAGGAAGTGTGTTAGGAATAATTCAGTGTCATTCGTGGTTGAAGGACCTGATAGGCAGTGTTCCTCAGGGACAGTTGCCCCCTTGCCCCCAATTATTTTATTTATTTTATTTTATTTTATTTTATTTTATTATTTTATTTTATTTTATTTTATTTTATTTTATTATTATTTTATTTTATTATTTTATTTTATTTTATTATTTTATTTTATTTATTTTATTTTATTATTTTATTTTATTTTATTTATTTTATTTTATTTTATTATTTTATTTTATTATTTTATTTTATTTTATTATTTTATTTTATTTTATTTTATTTTATTTTATTTTATTTTATTTTATTTTATTTTATTTTATTTTATTTTATTTTATTTTATTTTATTTTATTTTATTTCTATACCGCCCTTCTCCCAAAGGACTCAGGGCGGTGTACAGCCTAATTAAAAACACAAAGACAGCAAGATTTATAGAAGGCAGATATATGAAGGATAATGTGAGGCAAATTATAGATTTATTGGAATATCTTGAGAAGAATAAACAGATCTCTGCAGTGCTGGTGTTTTTGGATGCGGAGAAGGCCTTTGATCGAGTAAATTGGAACTTTCTATTAAAGACTTTAAAAAAAATGGATTTTGGGGATCAGTTTGTACAGGCGGTTTCAGCAATCTATCAAGAGCAAACAGCAAAAATTAAAAAAAAAAACACAAAGACAGACAAAATTTAAAAATAATTAAAATTATTAAATAATAAGCCCAATTTATAAAACCCCAAATTTAAAATCCCATTTAAAACCAATTAAAATCTTTACATTGATAGCCCAGCCTGGCGAAACAACAAGGTTTTGAGGGCACAGCGGAATACACGGAGATCAGAGATTTTACGAATTTCTGGGGGCAGTTCATTCCAAAGGGCAGGGGCTTCCACAGAGAAGGCCCTCCCCCTAGGTGTCGCCAGCCGACATAATTTGCCCGATGGCACCCTGAGGAGACCCTCTCTGTGGGAGCGAACTGGCCGGTGGGAGGCTACTGGTGGCAGAAGTCGGTCTCGAAGGTATCCAGGTCCAATGCCATGGAGCGCTTTAAAGGTGGTAACCAACACCTTGAAATTAATCTTTTAAGTAAAGGTAAAAGTTCCCCTCGCACATATGTGCTAGTCGTTCCCGACTCCAGGGGGCGGTGCTCATCTCCGTTCCAAAGCCGAAGAGCCAGCACTGTCCGAAGACGTCTCCGGGGTCATGTGGCCGGCATGACTCAACGCCCAAGGCGCATGGAACGCTGTTCCCTTCCCACCAAAGGTGGTCCCTATTTTTCTACTTGCACTTTTTACCTGCTTTCGAACTGCTTTTTTTTAAAAATTTGATTTATATGCCGCCCTTCTCCGGAGACTCAGGGCGGCTTACAATGTGTTAAGCAATAGCCTTCATCCTTTTGTATATTTTATACAAAGTCAGCTTATTGCCCCCACAATCTGGGTCCTCATTTCACCTACCTGAGAAAGGATGGAAGGCTGAGTCAACCTTGAGCCTGGCGAGATTCGAACCTGCAGAAATTGCAGGCAGCTGTGTTAATAACAGGGTGCATTAAACCACTGTACTACCAAGGCTCTTACCAAGAGTTGGCAGAAGCTGGGACAAGTCACGGGAGCTCACCCCATTACGCGACTCTCGGGATTCGAACCGCCGAACTGCCGACCTTTCGATCGACAAGCTCGGCGTCTTTAGCCCCTGAGCCACCGCGTCCCAATTGATCTTTACAAAGGGGATTAAAACGTGTTTCCCCCTACAGGGAACTCCAGCCCTCCCCCAGGCTGGAATTGCAGCCGACGTTCTGCTCAAAGGAACCATCACCCGTCTGGCTACAGAGGACAGCAGTCCGGAAAAGAACCGAGAAGAAGCCGCGACCTCCAAAGGCCACGTCATCTACGAGGGCAAAAGTGGCCATATCATTACTTACGATGGTGAGTGCCAGGTCGGGATGCTCAAACCCCCAGGTGCTCCTCGGGTGAGATGCACCACCGAAGCTGGACATTAATGCGCCGTACGGTCCTTGGGGTGCTCTGGGAGCCTGGTGGTTTTCTTGCAAACGTTTCATGACCCAACTAGGTAACATCATCAGTGCTAGAAGGGAGGGGTGGTTTGCAGAAAGGAGGACGAGGACCGTGGCGTCCTTGGGGTGCTTTCTGAGCTGGGTGCTGTTCTTGCAGACCTTTCATGACCCAACTAGGTAACATCATCCAGGCTTGGAGGAAGGGTGTTTGCGGAATGGAGGAGGAGGGGAGTTGGGGAGGAGGAGAAGGAGGAAGAAGAAGAAGAGGAAGAGGAGGAAAAAAAGGAAGAGGAGGAAGACTGGCATCCTTGGTGCTCTGAGCTTGGTGGTTTTCTTACAGACGTTTCATGACCCAACTAGATAACATCATCAGTGCTAGAAGGGAGAGGGGTTTGTGGAGGAGGAGGAGGAGAAGGATTGTGGGGGTCCTTGGTGCTCTCTGAGCTTGATTGCTTTCTTGCAGACGTTTCATGACCCAACTAGGTAACATCATCCAGGCTTGGAGGGAGGGTGTTTGCGGAATGGAGGAGGAGGGGAGTTGAGGAGGAGGAGAAGGAGGAAAAAAGGAAGAGGAGGAAGACTGGCATCCTTGGTGCTCTGAGCTTGGTGGTTTTCTTACAGACGTTTCATAACCCAACTAGATAACATCATCAGTGCTAGAAGGGAGAGGGGTTTGCAGAGAGGAGGAGGAGGAGGAGGAGGGTTTTCTTGCAGACGTTTCATGACCCAACTAGGTTACATCATCAATGCTAGAGGGGAGAGGGGTTTGCAGAGAGGAAGAGGAAGGTGAGGAGGAAGAGGAGGAGGGTTTTCTTGCAGATGTTTCCTGACCCAACTAGGAAACGTTATCAGTGCTAGAAAGGAAAGTGGTTTGTTGAGGAGGAGGAGAAGGTGAAAGAGGAGGAGGAGGACGGTCGGTTCCTTGGTGTTTTCTGAGCTTGGTTACTTTCTTGCAGACGTTTCATTACCCACCTAGGTTACATCATCAGTGTAGAAGGGTTTGCAGGGAGGAGGAGGAAGACTGTGGAGTCCTTGCTCTCTGAGCTTGGTGGTTTTCTTGCAGACCTTTCATGACCCAACTAGGTAACATCATCAGTGCTAGAAGTGAGTGGGGTTTGGGGTGGGGAGGAGTAGGAGCAGAGTTTCAGTGGTTTTTTTTCCTTGCTAGCTTTTTGTTGTCTCTTTTAAATGATGTGTAAATCTCTCTTAAGTGTAGTGCAAACCACTGTACATAATCAGAGAGCAAATCCCACTCCCTTCTAGCGCTGATGATGTTACTTAGTTGGGTCATGAAACGTCTGCCAGACAGCAACAAAGCTTGGAGCCCACCCCCCCTCCCAATCCTCTTCCTCCTCCTCCTCTCTACCACTGATGTTGATACCTAGTTGGGTTATGAAACGTCCGCAAAAAACCCCACCAAGCTCAGAGACGACCGAGGACACCTCCGTTCAAGCCTGGATGTCAGCACTTCAAGCTGCATTTACTCTGGTGCTGACATAAGAAGGAGGAGCGGAGGCGTCTGGAAAGGAACATTTGACTTTTCACCTACTTATTTTCCCTGGAGATAATATCCCCTAGGAGATGGGATGGGAGGGGGGAAATTCCTTTGAGCTGGAGCAGTAGATTAGGGGTAGAGTGACTTGGAAGATGGCCAATGAGTGCAGAGGAGTGGGAAACGGAAAGGGAGGGTTTTGGGTCTGGAAGTCAGTATTGGCTGCGATGGAGTCAGAATTAGAATGTCGTGCTTAATAAATGGGAGTTTTTCATCAAAGACTTTGTTTGAAATGCAATTTATTTGAGACGACCTCGAAACCTGACAGACAGCCATCTGTCCATCGAGAATTATCTCCATTTTCCCTGGAAGAATCCGAACGAAACTCTTTTCCGTTGGTCTCTCTTGCTGCTTGTCAACAGCCATCAAGAATGTCCGGGAAGGAACGCGGAGTCCAAGAACGGCTCACGACATGAGCCTCAAACGGACATACGAAGCCATGGAAGGGAACATCAAACAAGGGATGTCAATGAGAGAATCTCCCGTCTCGGCACCTTTAGAAGGTAAGCTTGGCTAGCAAATCCCCGTTCATTTGCAGGAATTGGGGATGTCTTGACCAGGGGCCTCCAACCTTGGCAACTTTAAGACTTGTGGACTTAAATGTTGGAAATGCCCACCAGTTACCAGGTTCATATAATCACATGTGGTGGACATGCCCTAAAGCAAAAAGCTACTGGAATAAAATGAAGTTATGGGTGGAGGCAGGGGTAGGTTCTAAATTTTTTTACTACCGGTTCTGTGGGTGTGGCTTATTTTGTGGGTGTGGCTTGGAGGTCATGTGACTAGGTGGGCGTGGCTAGCTGGTCAGAGTCATTTCTGGAAGGTCCTCGCACTTACGACCAGTCCTCGCACTTACGACCCGACTCATTTGTTTGCTTTTAACACTGATCAGCTGTAGGACGGCCCTTTGAAACCCCGCGGCAAGAGTTTAAACAGTTTTTTTCCCTCTAGTCATCAGCTGGGACTCAGGAGGCAGCAATAGATTGGGGGTGGGACCAAATAAAAGGTAAGAATTGGGGGTAGGAGGGCGGGGGGGGAGAACCGGTTCGGTGATGTCATATCGTCACCGCTACCGGCTTGGCCGAAACGGGAGGAACCCACCACTGGGTGGAGGAAATGATACAACAACATATAAATTTAAAACCAGAGCTATTCCTATTGGGTATCTACCAGAGAAAACTAGTAAAGATAATTTTTTTTTATTTGATTTATATGCCGCCCTTCTCCGGAGACTCAGGGCAGCTTACAATGCGTTAAGCAACAGCCTTCATACTTTTGTATATATTTATACAAAGTCAGCTTATTGCCCCCACAATCTGGGTCCTCATTTTACCTACCTTTGAAAGGATGGAAGGCTGAGTCAACTTTGAGCCTGGTGAGATTTGAACTTGCAGTAATTGCAGGCAGCTGATGTTAATAACAGTGCTTTAGTCTGCTGCGCCACCAGGGCTCTATTTGATTATACATTTAATAACGGCAGCAAGGATTGTTTATGCACAAAATTGGAAAGCAGAGAATATACCATCGGAGGGAGAAGTAATTAAAAAAAAATTTAGACTGTGCAGAAATGAATAGATTAACTATGATGATAAAAGAAAGAGAAGATTCAGAATATTTTAAGATATGGAATAAATTTTACTATTGGCTAGAAAAGAGATATAAATAAGTTTTAAAAGAGATTGAAGAAAAAAAATTGTTGTAATTAGAATATTATATTAATGGAAAACCTTTGTAATGGATTTGGTGAGATTGAAGACAGAAGAAGCCCTGGTAGCGCAGCAGACTAAAGCACTGTTTTTAACACCAACTGCCTGCAATTACTGCAAGTTCAAATCTCGCCAGGCTCAAGGTTGACTCAGCCTTCCATCCTTTCTAAGGTAGGTGAAATGAGGACCCAGATTGTGGGGGCAATAAGCTGACTTTGTATAAATATATACAAAAGTATGAAGGCTGTTGCTTAACGCATTGTAAGCTGCCCTGAGTCTCCGGAGAAGGGCGGCATATAAATCAAATTAAAACAAAAAAGAGAGAGAGAGAAGAGAATAAATTTTTGAATCTTGTCTTAATTAATGAAATGAAGGACTAGAGGAGACATGATAGCATCTTCCAATATTTGAGGTCCCGCCACAAAGAAGAGGGGATCAACCTCTCCTCCAAAGCACCTGAAGGCAGGAGAAGAAGCAACGGATGGAAACTAATCAAAGAGAGAAGCAACCTGGAATTAAGGAGAAACTTCCTGACAGTGAGAACAATTAACCAGTGGAACAGCTTGCCACCAGAAGTTGTGGGTGCTCCATCACTGGAGGTTTTTAAGAAGGGATTGGATAGTCACTTGTCTGAAATGGGATAGGCTTTCCTGCCTGAGTGGGGAGTTGGACTAGAAGATCTCCGAAGTCCCTTCCAACGCTGTTATTCTGTTATCAGGCAGGTGGAGGGTAGTACATATGAAGAACGGTTGCAGGAACTGGGTATGTCTAGTTTAATGAAAAGAAGGAGTAGGGGAGACATGATAGCAGGGTTCCAGTATTGGAGGGGCTGCCCCAGAGAGGAGGAAGGGGGTCAAGCTATTCTCCAAAGCACCTGAAGGGCAGAGAAGAAATAATGGATGGAAACTGAACAAGGAAAAATTCAACCTGGAAATAAGGAGGAATTTTCTGACAGTGAGGACAATCAACTGATGGAACAGAAGTTGTCTTCAGAAGTTGTGGGAAGTTTCATCACTGGAAGCTTTCAAGAAGAGACTGGACTGCCATCGGTCAGGAATGGTGTAGCGTCTCCTTGCTTGGGCGGGGAGGGTTGGACTAGATGACCTCTGTCACATGCTGTTATATTTTGATGTGTCTTAGCTGGCCACAAATGTACAGACGCTGTGTGGTTTTTAGACAAAAACGAACCTTCAAAGAATGTTTCTAGGATAAATTATCAGTACTGGCTCCCTCAGGAATTTATGATACCAAGTATCAGGATTTATGGAGACACTCCGTCATCCAGATCAGCCTTCCTTGGTCTTTTTTTCTCGGAGACGTTTCTCTTCTCCTTCCAGGAGCTTCTTCAGTTTAGAACCGAAGAAGCTCCTCGGCTGAGAAACGAAACATCTTCAAGTGAAAACTAAGAAAGTTCCAGTTGCCTTTTGAAAAAGCACTTTTGGGACAATTGAAAGAGAGAGAGGCTGTTTTCGGTAACTTCACTTTTTTTTCTTTTCTTTTAGGCTTAATCTGCCGGGCTGTACCTCAAGGGAGTCCCCACTCCGACATGAAGGAGAGGACCGTGTTGTCGGGTTCAATAATGCAAGGTAAGAAAAAGACCAATACTCCACTCCCCCCCCCCCCCCCTTTCCCCCCCCCCCCCCCCGCATCTCTTCTCTCCTAACTGCTTGCCTTCAGAAGTTGTGGGTCCTTCATCACTGGAGCCTTTCAAGAAGAGACTGGACAGCCCCTTGTCTCAAACTGTAGCGGGCAGGGGCTATCAAATTCAAGGCCCATCGTCTGGATCTGGCCTGCAGGGTGCTTAGATCTGGACTGGATGACAGTAATACGTTGAATTGAGGCAAGAAAAACCCAAAGTACACATATAAACTGGGGGAAACCAGGCTTAATAGCAGTGATTGTGAGAGGGATCTTGGAGTCTTAGTGGACAACCAATTAAATATTGGTTATCAGGCTCAACCCATCCAAGACCGAGTGGCTGTGGTTTCCGACATCCCGATATAGTCAGTTGACGCCATCACTGACTATTGGGGGCGAATCATTGGCCCCCACGGAGAGGGCTCGCAACTTGGGCGTCCTCCTGGATTCACGGCTGTCTTTAGAAGAGCACTTGACGGCCGTGACCGGGAGGATTTTTCATCAGGTTCGCCTGATCTGCCAGTTGCATCCCTTTCTGGATCGGGACTCCTTACGCACAGTCACTCATGCCCTCGTCACTTCCCGCCTGGACTATTGCAATGCTCTCTACATGGGGCTCCCCTTGAGGAGCATCCGGAGGCTCCAACTGGCGCAGAGTGCGGCCGCGCGGGTGGTAATGGGAGCGTCATGGCGCTCCCATGTGACACCTCTCCTGCGCGAGCTGCACTGGCTCCTGGTGGTCTTCCGGGTGCGCTTCAAGGTTTTGGTTACCACCTTTAAAGCGCTCCATGGCTTAGGACCTGGTTATTTACGGGACCGCCTACTACCACCAATAGTCTCCCACTGGCCAGTACGCTCTCATAGAGAGGGGCTCCTCCGGGTGCCGTCAGCCAAACAGTGTCGGCTGGCGGCCCCTAGGGGGAGAGCCTTCTCTGTGGGGGCACCTACTATCTGGAATGAGCTCCCCCCGGAGATATGGAGGATCCCGGATCTGCGCTCCTTCCGCCGCGCTGTGAAGACCTTTTTATTCCATCAAGCGGGCTTGGCCTAATCTCCTCCTCTTTTAATATGTAAATTTTAATCTGTTTTTAAATTATTGGGGTGTTTTAATCTGTCCGGGCCAAAATGATTTAATTTGATTTTATCTGGTTTTTAAATTTTGTGTATTTATGTATTTTATTGCTTGGCTGTTCACCGCCCTGAGTCCTTCGGGAGTAGGGCGGTATACAAATCAAATAAACTAAACTAAACTAAACTAAACTAAACTAAATATGAGTTAACTGTGTATGGCGGCAGCCAAAAAAGCCAATGCAATCCTAAATTGCATTAACAGAGGGATTCAATCAAGATCAAGGGAGGTACTAATACCACTTTATAAAGCCTTAGTTTTTTGTTTGTTTTTTTTAGTTTTTTTTAATTTAATTTGTATACCGCCCTTCTCCCAGAAGGGACTCAGTGCGGTGAACAGCCAGAATTAAAAATACAATAAAATACAAAAATTAAGCTAATTAAAAGAATTAAATTAAGAATTAAATTAAATCTTAGTAAGACCACACCTAAAATACTGCATCCAGTTTTGGTCACCACACTATATAAAAGATTTTGAGACTCTGGAAAGAGTGCAGAGAAGAGCAACCAGGATGATTAGGGGATCGGAGGCTCAAACATACGATGAACGGTTGCAGGAACTGGGCCTGGCTGGTCTAGTGAAGAGAAGGACCAGGGGAGACAGGAGAGCATCTTCCAATATTTGAGGGGCTGCCCCAGAGAGGAGGAAGGGGGTCAGGCTATTCTCCAAAGCAAAAGGAAGGAAGGAAGGAAGGAAGGAGGGAGGGAGGGAAGGAAGGTGGAAGGGAGGGAAAGAAAGAGAGAGAGAGAGAGAGAGAGAGAGAAAGAAAAAAGAAAGAAAGAAAGAAAAGAAAAGAAAAGAAGAAAAGAAAAAAGAAAGAAAGACATCTGAATGAACCATAGATAGACAGAAGACATGGCTAGTCTAGCGAAGAGAAGGACCAGGGGAGACAGGAGGGCATCTTCCAATATTTGATGGGCTGCCCCAGAGAGGAGGAAGGGGGTCAAGCTATTTTCCAAAGCACCCAAAGGCCAGACAAGATATATTGGATGGAAACTGACCAAGGGAAGATTCAACGTGGAAATAAGGAGAAATTTCCTGACAGTGAGAACAATCAACCCATGGAACAGAAGTTGCCCTCAGAAGTTGTGGGATCTTCATCCCTGGAGGCTTTCAAGAAGAGACTGGACTGCCATCTGTCAGAAATGTTGCAGGGCCTCCTGCTTGGACGGGGGGTTGGACTAGATGACCTACAAGGTCCCTTCCCACTCTGTTCATCTAATCTAAAAGGTCTCTCTTTTCCCACCAAAGGCACCCCGCGATCCACCGCGGAGAGCTACGAAATCGGACTCAAGTACCCGAAGATCAAGCGGGAATCTCCTCCCATGAGGACCTTTGAGGGAGCCATCGCCAAGGCCAAACTCTACGACGGGGTCACCACCATCAAGGAGATGGGGCGCTCCATCCACGAAATCCCCCGGCAGGAGCTGTTGAATCAGGAAAGCCAGAAGAACCCCGACATGATCCCTAACGTCCGTCCCATCATCGAAGGATCCATCTCGCAGGTGAGCAAAACCATCAGATCCTAACCGGGTTGTTGTTGTTGTTTTTTTAAGCGTTGGAAGGGATTGTGGAGGTCATAAAGTCTCACCCCCTGTTCAGGGCAAACCTCCAGATCGCAGGCAGATGGTTGTCTTCTTCTTCTAATATAGGCAGTCCTCGACTTACAACAGTTCGTTTAGTGGCCATTCAAAGTTACAACGGCACTGGGGGGGGGGGAAATGACTTACGACCTTTTTTCACACTTATGACCGTTGCAGCATCCTCACGCATGGCAACTGACTCGTATTTACGGTGGTTGACGTTGTCCCAGGGTCACATGATCCCTTTTTGCGACCTTCTGACCCGCCCAGTCAACGGAGAAAGCCAGATTCGCTTCACGACCGCATTACTAACTTGAAAGAGCTGCCGTGATTCGCTTAACAAGTGAATGTGGCAAGGAAGGCCGTAAAATGGGGCAAAAGTCGCTTAACCAGTGTCTCGCTTAGCAACAGAAATTTTGAGCTCCGCTGTGGTCGCAAGTCGAGGACTACTTGTAGAAACTAAGAGAATCAGAAAAGAGGGGGGTGGGCTACATAGGGGTCCCCTCAGGCTTTACGGTTTACCCCCAACTCTTGGAGAGGTTTTTATTATTTCTGAGAAGCTGAGAGAGAGAGAGAGGATAGATAGATAGATAGATAGATAGATAGATAGATAGATAGATAGATAGATAGATAGATAGATAGATAGATAGATAGAGTAGATGGATAGATAGATGGATAGAGATAGATAATTAGATAATTAGATAGAGATAGAGAGATAGCTAGATGATAGATAAAGAGATAGATGGATAGATGATAGAGATAGATAGATAGATAGATAGATAGATAGATAGATAGATAGATAGAGAGATAGAGAGATAGAGAGATAGAGAGATAGATAGAGAGATAGAGAGATAGATAATTAGATAATTAGATAATTAGATAGATTGATGGATGGATAGATGATAGATAGAGATAGAGAGATAATTAGAGAGATAGATGATAGATAAAGAGAGATGGATAGATGATAGAGATAGATGATAGATAGATAATTAGATAGATATGGATAGAAGATAGATTGATAGATACATAGATGATAGATAGATGGAGATAGATAATTAGATAATTAGATAGATAGAGATGTTAGATAAAGAGATAGATGGATAGATGATAGAGATAGATGATAGATAGAGATAGATAGATAATTAGATAGAGAGATAGATAGAGAGATATATGATAGATAAAGATGGATAGATGATAGAGATAGATGATAGATAATTAGATAGATAGATATGGATAGAAGATAGATAGATGGATAGATAGATAGATGATAGATAGATGGAGATAGATAATTAGATAATTAGACAGAGAGAGAGATTATAGATAAAGAGATAGATGGATAGATGATAGAGATAGATGACAGATAGATAGAGAGAGAGAGAGAGAGACAGAGATAACAACAACAACATCGTACATTTTAAGAAGATACTTGCTTGCTACCTAGGATGCTGGCAGCAACCCGTATCAACCATCAGTGCCAGTCAGTAATATTTGTGGTACATTTTTAAATGTTCAGTTGACTGAGTTTCATGTTTAATGAATAAAAGAGTATAATGATGATGATGATGATGGTGATTATGATAGTAGTGATAGTCCTTTGGGACTCGATAGGACAAAAAGGACACGTCCAGTCTGAACATCTGGCTGAACATGAATGAATGAATGAACGAACGAACGAACGAATGAATGAATGAATGAATGAATGAATAAATATTAAATAAATGTAGTCCTCAACGTACAAAGAAGAAAGTTGCTCCTGGCAACTGGACGTGGAGTCCTGCCAGAACAAAAATCACCAGGAGATGTGCTGGCAAAGGGGAAGCAGGGAAGAGGCAAAATTTGAAAGGCCCATTTGGAAAAACGCTCCTTTTTTTCTTTCTCCTTTCCGAGGAGAAGTTTCTCTGCAAAGTTTGGCATCGACCTGGCCACGCCCACCCGGCCATTCAGATGTCTTCGTCTTCCTGGCACCACTCTGAGGGCTGCACCAACCCAGCCGTGCCCACCTGACAGCACAGATGGCCACACCCACCCATCCACGCCCACCTAGTGCCACTCAGATGGCCACACCCACCTGGGGCACTTGGATGGCTGCACCCACCCAACCGCCCCCATCCGGCAGCATAGATGGACACACCCACCCAGCCACACCCACCTGGCACTGTCAGGTTTTCAGGCAGTCTTCAAATAAATTGCATCGCAAACAAAGTCTTTTATAAAACAAAACTTTCATTTTATTAAGCACAGCACTTTTTACACCGACTCGTTGCAGCCGGCACTGAGGTGCTGCCCCAAAACCCCTCCTCTTCCTTCCCCCACTCCTCTGCATTCATTGGCCATCTTCCCAATCATTCACCCCTAATCTACTGCTCTAATTCAAAGAATTTCCCCCCTCCCATCCATCTCCTAGGGAACATTATCTCCAGAGGAAATAAGTAGGTGAAAGGCAACCGTCCCGTTGCAGACGCCTGCATTCTCCTTCTTCGTTCAAAACCCCTCCTCTTCCTTCCCCCACTCCTCTGCATTCATTGGCCATCTTCCCAATCATTCACTCCTAATCTACTGCTCCAATTCAAAGAATTTCCCCCCTCCCATCCATCTCCTAGGGGACATTATCTCCAGAGGAAATAAGTAGGTGAAAGGCAACCGTCCCGTTGCAGACGCCTGCGTTCTCCTCCTTATGTCAGCACTAGGATAAATGCATCTTGACGTGCTGGAGGGCACTACACAGATGTCTCTGCCCACCTGGCACCACTCAGATGGCCACACCCACCCATCCACGCCCAACGGGGCCACTCAGATGGCCGTGCCCACCCAGTCGCACCCCCCGCCCCCCGGCTGCAGGCAATTGCCATATGACTCCCTCCTCTCCTCCTCCTCCTCCTCCTCCTCCTGCAGGGTACGCCCATCAAGTACGAAAGCAGCTCCTGCCAGTCGGCCATCAAACACAACGTCAAGTCCCTGATCACCGGGCCCAGCAAGCTGTCGCGAGGCATGCCGCCCATGGAGATGATGCCCGAGAACATGAAAGTGGTGGAACGCGGAAAACACGAAGACCCCAAGGCTGGAGAGATGCATTCTCGCCACACCTCGGTGGTCAGCTCGGGACACTCCGTCCTGCGGTCAACACTCCACGAAGCTCCCAAGTCTCAAGTCAGTCCGGGGATCTACGAGGATGCCAACGCCAGGAGGACGCCGGTGGGCTATCAAAGCATGTCCAGAAGTTCGCCCATGATGAACCGGGCTGAAGGTGGGTGGCCCTTCGCGGCTTCTGTGGCGGTCAGCGGGACGAGGGACGAAACAGTTGACCAACTGAGCTGCTCTGACTCTCAAAAATTCAGGAAGCCTTTTCATCAGTTATATTTCTATTTTCTTAGTGTTTCAGAATGGGTACCGATGGTTTCTCCCTGCAGATTGTTATACGGTTGGCCTTCAATTTACAAATAATTTGTTTAGTGAACTTCCCTTGCTAAGATATTTGTTAACTTCCCCAGATATTTGTTACGAGAGTCGTGCTCATTTTTCACCACCTTTTTGTGACAGTTGTTAAACAAATCCCTGCCGTTACTGTTGTTGAATCGTTGGCACTGTCAAGCAAATCTGGAAGGAAGGGAGAGCGGGCAGGACATAGAGGAAGGAAGGGAAGAAAGGAAAGGGAAAAAAGATGAGAAGGGAGGGAAGGAGCCAAGAGCCTTGGTAGTACAGTGGTCTAAAGCACCCTGTTATTAAGACCAGCTGCCTGCAATTCGAATCTCGCCAAGGCTCAAGGTTGACTCAGCCTTCCATCCTTTCTAAGGTAGGTAAATTGTGGACCCAGTTTGTGGGGGCAATAAGCTGACTTTGTATAAATATACAAAAGGATGAAGGCTATTGCTTAACGCATTGTAAGCCGCTCTGAGTCTCCAGAGAAGGACGGCATATAAATCAAATTAAAAAAAAAAAAAAAAAAGGAGGGAAGACATAGAGGAAGGGAAGGAAGGAGAAGGGGAAAAGATAAGAAGGAAGGAGAAGAGAAGGAGGGAAGGAAGACATAGAAAGAGGAAAGGAAGGAAAAGATGAGAAGGAGGGAGGAAGGGGGGAGAGAGGGAGGAAGGAAAAGGAAAAGATGAGAAGGAAGGGGAAGGGAGGGAGGACATAGAAAGAGGAAGGGAAAGTGGAAAAGATGAGAAGGGAGGGAGGATAAGGATAAGGATAAGGATAATTTTATTTCTATACCGCCCCTCTCCCAAGGGACTCAGGATGGTGTACAGCCAGGTAAAACACAATTCAAATATCACAATTTAAATTTAAAAATTCTTAAAAGTATTACATTTAAGGACAAAATTAGCTTAAAAACCCCCCAAATTTAAGAACTCCGAATTTAAAACTCAATTATGAAGCTATGCCTGTCGGAAGAGCAGAGTCTTAAGAGCACAGTGGAAAACTCGGAGGTCAGAGATCTTGCGTATCTCCTTGGGGAGTTCGTTCCAAAGGGCAGGTGCCACCACAGAGAAGGCCCTCCCCCTGGGTGTCGCCAGCCGACATAATTTGGCCGACGGCACCCTGAGGAGTCCCTCTCTGTGGGAGCGTCCCGGCCGGTGGGAGGCTATCGGTGGCAGAAGGCGGTCTCGTAAGCACCCAGGTCCTGAGCCATGGAGCGCTTTAAAAGTGGTAACCAACATCTTGAATCGCACCCGGAAGACCACTGGGAGCCAGTGCAGCTTGCGCAGGAGAGATGTTACATGGGCGCAACGAGTTGCACCCATAATTACCCACGCGGCCACATTCTGGACCAGCTGGAGCCTCCGAGTGCTCCTCAAGGGGAGCCCCATGTAGAGAGCATTACAGTTGTCCAGCCGGGAGGTAACAAGGGCGTGAGTGACCGTGCGCAAGGCGTCCCGGTCCAGAAAGAGACGCAACTGGCGAATCAGGCGAACCTGATAGAAAGTCCCCCTGGCCACGGGCGTCATATGCTCTTCTAAAGACAGCCGTGCATCCAGGAGGACGCCCAGATTGCGAGCCCTCTCTGTGGGGGGATAGAGATTCACCCCCTATAAACGGGAAGGTGGACATAGGAAGAGGAAGGGAAGGAAGGAGAAGGGGAAAAGATGAGAAGGAAGAAGAGAAGGAGGGAAGGAAGACATAGAAAGAGGAAGGGAAGGAAAAGATGAGAAGGAGGGAGGGAGGGGGGAGAGAGGGAGGGGAAGGAAGGAAAAGATGAGAAGGAAGGGGAAAGGAGGGAGGGAGGACATAGAAAAAGGAAGGGAAGGTGGAAAAGATGAGAAGGGAGGGAGGGAGGTGAACATAGGAAGAGGAAGGGAAGGAAGGAAAAGGGAAAGAAGAGAAGGAAGGAAGAAAGGAAGGAAGGAAGGAAGGAAGATGGGGGATAATAAAACTGACAAGAGGGAAGTTCAAAAATAAAATAATAATAAAAATAAGAGTAAAGCAAAAATAAATATTAATTAAAAGGAATAAAGAAATAAAATATAATAATAATAAAAATAAAGTAATAATATATAAATTATTATTATTATTATTAATAATAAAATAAAATTAATTAATAATTATTAATAAATAATTAATAAATTATTATTATAATTATATTTATTTATAATTATTATAATTATTTAATAAATTATTTTTATAATTATTAATAAATAATTAATAAAATAAAATTATTATTAATGATAATAATAATAATAAAATAAAATGAACAAATTAACAAGGAAACGAAAAAGAAACGCGAAACTCGACGGGCAGCGGTCAATGGGCCCCTGGGTTGTCTCCTGCCATCACTCGTCTTTTGTGTTTCCATATTTCAAATCCAACCAGCCAGCCGACCGTTCTTCGGCGCTTCACGGTCCACCTGAGTTTTCCAGCGGCCAAAGCGGGGCGCAGAAGCGGCTTGCGTTCCCACAACCGCCAGCCAACTCTTAACCCGGGTTTCTTTTGCAGGCAACCTTTCTTCGGGGAAGCCCTTGAACCACGAGAGGAAGTCCACTTTGACGCCGACGCAAAGGGAGAGCGTCCCGGCTAAATCTCCGGTCCCGGGGGTTGAGCCCGTGGTCACTCACAGCCCCTTCGACCCCCACCACCGAGGGGCAGCCCCCGAGGTTTACAGGAGCCATCTCTCGCCTCACCTGGACCCGGCCATCCAGTTCCACAGAGCTTTGGATCCCAGTACGTACCATTTATTACTACTATTATTATTATTATTGCTTTTCTATACGTGGTCCTCGACTTACGACCGCAATTGAGCCCCAGATTTCCATTGCTAAATGAGACGACCAAGTCTTGCTCCATTTAACGATCTTTCTTGCCACCGTTGTTAAGCAAATCACCGCAGATGTTAAGTTAGAAGCACGGTCGTTAAGTGAAACCAGCTCCCCCTCCTCCCTTTGACTCTGCTCGTCAGAAGATCGCAAAAGGGGATCGTACGACCCCCCCCCCGGGACACTGCGACGGTCGTATATGTGAGTCCGTTGCCACGCATCCGAGTGTAAATCCCTCGGCCGCGGGGATGACTCAATGGTCGTTAAGTGTGAAAAATGGGTCCTAAGTTCCTTTATTTCCGTGCCCTTGTAACTCCAAACGGTCACTAAATGAACGGTTGTAAGTCGAGGATTACCTATACAGAATAAACGAGTTGGAAGGGACCTTGGAGGCCTTCTAATCGACATCCCACCCAACCCCGATCAAATAGGAAGACCAGGAAAAATCCCCGTCAATTACATGTGAATAAGGTTGAATAAGTCCCTTTTCTCATGCCGTTATCACTACAAACGGTCACTAAATGAACGGTTGTAAGTCGAGGAATACCTGTAACATAAGAAATATTGCTTTTTGTCTCTTGCCTAGTGCCTGGTTCCCCCTACTTAATGTATTCTGCTCTTCCTCGCCCAGCGACCGCCTACATGTTCCAGCGGCAGCTGTCGCCCACGCCGGGCTACCCCAGCCAATACCAGCTTTACGCCATGGAGAACACGCGGCAAACCATCCTGAACGACTACATCACGTCGCAGCAGATGCAGGTCAACCTGCGGCCGGACCTTGCGCGAGGACTGTCCCCACGAGAACAGACCTTGGCGCTTCCCTACGCAGGGGCCAGAGGTAGGTTTCCTTGGCTCAGGAGCAGCCTTCTGCAAAAACCAGGTTAATCTAGAACCTGGTTCGGCCCGTGGGATGCTTAGATCTGGTGCCTCTGCCAGCGAAAACAAGCTCCCAATCTCACGCAGCCCGCCCGAGCTCCATTTTTGCTGGGAGAGGGTTGCAGGAGGCCGGTCCCAGCCGAAAATGGAGATTTCCCTGGCACGGCACTCAGGCCGCCGCTATTCCAACGGATGCGCTAATTAAATTTTTATCAGGTCCGCCTGATTCGCCAGTTGCGTCCCTTTCTGGATCGGGACTCCTTACGCACAGTCACTCAGGCACTCGTCACTTCCCGCCTGGACTACTGCAATGCTCTCTACATGGGGCTCCCCTTGAGGAGCACCCGGAGGCTCCAACTGGTGCAGAATGCGGCTGCGCGGGGGATTATGGGAGCGAGGGGGCGCTCCCATGTGACTCCTCTCCTGCGCGAGCTGCATTGGCTTCCAGTGGTCTTCCGGGTGCGCTTCAAGGTTTTGGTTACCACCTTTAAAGCGCTTCATGGCTTAGGGCCAGGGTACTTACGGGACTGCCTTCTGCCACCAATAGCCTCCCACCGACCAGTTCGCTCCCACAGAGAGGGACTCCTCAGGGTGCCGTCGGCCAGGCAATGTCGGCTGGCGACCCCCAGGGGGAGGGCCTTCTCTGTGGCAGCTCCTGCCCTCTGGAACGATTTGCCCCTGGAGATACGAAGGATATCGGATCTCCGGGTCTTTCGCCGTGCCCTGAAAACTTTTCTTTTCCATCAAGCAGGGCTGGCGTGAAACCCCCCCCCACCCTTTTTTTTTTTTTTTTTAGTTTTTTAGCTTTTAATCTGTCAGTGGGTTTTAATTCGAATTGTTTTAAATTTGGGCCAAAGTATGTAATTCTTTTAATAATTTTAAATTTTGTATTGGTATGTGTTTTAGTTTTGGCTGTGCACCGCCCTGAGTCCACTAGGAGAAGGGCGGTATACAAATTGAATAAAATAAATGAATGAATGAATAAATAAATACATAAATAAATAAATCATGAGCCTCAGCCAAGCTTCAAAAGAAATCCAGATATTTATTAGGAGCTTCATGTCGGCACGTTCCAAGTGAAGCCAACTCTGACCCCATGTAATTTACGACCCAAACTTGACCCTGGTTCCCCCCTCCACCCCCTCAGGGTGTGTCATCAGTCACATTCGCCAACGGAGCAATTTCGCAGGTTGTAGTGATCACTCCCCTCTGGCCGCTGTGGGTAACCCTCTGAGACAGCCTTGAGAGAGAGATGTCTGGAATGTGCTTTTGTTTTCGGCTGCCGTGCTGCTTCGCCGTTTTCCCATCCCCCTCGCTTATGGCAACTGGAGAGGAGGCCAGGGATGCTTTGCGAGTTGACAGCCACAGACGCCCCCAACACGACATCAAGTTGGCCACGGCCACCCTGGCCACTCCCACCCCAGCTCCCTGAGGTCAAACATAACCCTGCTGTGGCCCTCAATGAAATCGAGTTTGACACACCTGATCTAGAACCGTTTTCGTAGGGCCCTTGCTGGAATTCTCTATCCTAGCTACCGGCTTAATCACCACTAGGCCGCATGAGTGGCCAACTGGTGTGCGTGTATTGGAGTGAACACACGGTCCCACTCGCACGAGCTTCACGGCCAGTCGTGGTCTGACTTGCACGAGCATAGTTGCAGGTGGTTGTGACCCCCCCACCCGCACGCACATCACGGATGCTTGGGGTCCCACAGGCGTGGGCATTGTCATGGGTCTTTCCTGCGTCACTCGTGTGAGCTTTGCTGGCGGTCTCGGCCCGACTCGCACAAGCATCTTGTAGCCCCACTTAGACGATCATCGTCGTGGGCACTTGCGGTCCCACTCGCGCGATCATTGTCACGGGGATTCGCAGCCCCACTCGTGCGAGTTTTGCGAGCGGTCGCGCCACGATTCTCACAAGCCTCATCACAAGCGCTTAGATCCCACTTACGTGAGCCTCTTTGCGGACACTTGCGGTCCCACTCACGGGAGCGTTGCCGTCATGGGCGTTTGCAGTCCCACGCATGCGAGCATTGTCGCGGGTGTTGGAAGGAAAATCCATCTGGTTCAGTTCCAAACCGGGAGAAAGACGCCGGAAATAAAATGGAGGCTGATTGGAAAGAAAAGTTCCCTTTATTGATGAAGCAGAACCACGAACCACATTTGGTTCTGGGACAGCTGAGCAAATGCTGAATAGGTGGACGGATCTTTATAGTTTCTGTAACTGTAAAGTTTGGGATTTGTGCAAGATGGGCTTTGGGTTTCTAAAAGGCTGTTGGGCAATTCCTATTGTGGCTCATGGCTTTCGTCCTGCATTGGATCTTGGGTGAGGGGTTGCTTGTTCTAATTCTATTACTGTTTTCGTCAGCTGTCAAATTTTGCCACGGGAGTTTCGAAATCTCCTGCCTGGAATGGATTTCTGCTGGCAGTGTTTGCTTTGCTTGTGAACGGAGCCATCTAGATAGTCGGCTTCCTCTTTCAATAAGCTCTTTATCTCCTTAAGTGCTGGCATCTGCTGTTAAGGAAGACTTGGGGGTCTGCTTTCTGCCTCTAAAAACATGTTTCTCCGTTTCTCCTTTAGGGAAATATAATAGTCTGCTTTTTTTTAATATTTCCCAAAATATTTCATTCCTCTGAGGGGGGGGCTTCCCACACAGGCGTGCGTGGCCGCATTCCTGCAAGTTGCGTGGGCGGTCACAGCACGACTCACACAAGCGTTGTCACAGGCGCTTACTTCCCCACTCGCGGGATGCTTGCAGCTCCACTCGTGCAAGCATTGTCACAGGTGTTCGTGGCTCCACTTGCGCAAGCATGATTGCAAACATGGGAGCTTGCACGCATGCGCACGTGTGCGGCTGCGCCCCCCCACAAAATCATCCCCGCTTTGCCACCTCCCCTTCCCGCTCCGGGCCGCCAAGCCAGAAAGGTTGGGGAACTCTGCTGTATCCGATGTTCTTGGTCAGCGGGGATTTTTAGCCAGGGTCAGAGGCAGGAGTGAAATGCTCCCGGTTCGGACCAGATCACCTGATCCGGTAGCGATGGAGGCGGATGGTTCGGAGAACCGGTAGCAAAAATCCCTCCCCCCCCGCCATGCCCAGCTGAGCTGCACAATCATCAAAGGGTTTTTTTTTTACTTTTAAAAGCATATTTTCTACAACCTCTTCGGCTGAAAAAATGCTTTTAAAAGAAAAAAAAAAAAAGCCTCTGATGATCGCGTCAAAGGCTTTTAAAAGCTTTTTTTCTACAACCTCTTCAGAGGTTGTAGAAAAAATGCTTTTAAAAGCCTCTGACGATCCCAGCTGAGTTGCCAGATCTGCAGAGGCTTTTTTTTCTTTTAAATGCTTCTGACGATCAGGCAACTCAGCTGGGATCATCAGAGGCATTTAAAAGAAAAAAAAGCCTCTGCCGATCAGGCAACTCAGCTGGGATCGTCAGAGCCTTTTGAAAGCATTTTTTTACAACCTCTTCGCTGAAGAGGTGGTAGAAAAAATGGTTTTAAAAGTAAAAAAAAATTGGCCAGACCCACCCAGTCACATTAACGCCCCCCCACCAAGCCACGCCCACAGAACCGGTAGTAACAAATTTTAGATTTCACCACTGGTCACCTCAAAGTGTTATTGGCTGGACCACTGACCGTCAGCTGTTTACAGGTGGTCCTCGATTTATGATCACAATTGAGCCCAAAATTTCCATTGCTAAGTGAGACAGTGACCGATCTGTTTTGTGACCATCACAACACACAGGTAGTCCTTGACTTATGACCCCAATTAAGCTCAATATTTCCGTTGCTAAGCAAGTCAGTGACCAATCCGTTTTGTGACCATCTAAACTCACAGGTAGTCCTCAATTTACGAGCACAACTGAGCCCAAAATTTCTGTTGCTAAGCAAGGCAGTGACAGATCTGTTTGGGACCATCGTCATAACCTTTGTCAGACCCTCTAATCTGGGTCATCAGTCCCCTTTTTTTGTGTCGGTCGTAACTTGGAACGGTCACTAAACAAGCCCTTTTTACTTTTCTTTTGGTCTTAATCCGTGTTGGCCTTCATTCCTTCCTCTTTCGACAAGGAATCATCGACCTGAACAGCATGGCGCCCACCATCTTGGTGCCCCACCCCGGGGGGCCAAGCACGCCCCCGATGGAGAGGATTACCTACATTCCTGGCACTCAGCTGGCGTTCCCCACCAGGCCTTACAACCCGCCCTCCATGTCGCCAGGTAAGGGCCAGAACAATGGACGTGCTGGGTTCAGGTCCAACACAGCTGAGGGGATTTGAGGGGGTGGGGGGGCAGATCCCCATTTCTGCTTCGGAGCAAAAGCTGGGCACATCTGCACAGGGCATCCCAGGATGAAATGCTTCATCGGATTTCACCTTGGCTGCCAATTGGATGGATGGACGGATGGATGGATAGATAGATAGATAGATAGATAGATAGATAGATAGATAGATAGATAGATAGATAGATAGATAGATAGATAGATGAGAAAGGGTGGAAGAGGGAGTAGAGAGAGAGGAGAGAGAGATGATAGATAGATAGATAGATAGATAGATAGATAGATAGATAGATAGATAGATAGATAGATGAGAGAGGGTGGAAGAGGGAGGAGAGAGGAGAGAGAGATGATGGATGAATGGATGGATATATAGATATAGATAGATGAGAGAGAGAGAAAGATGATGAACGGACAGACTGACAGAGATAGATAGATAGATAGATAGATAGATAGATAGATAGATAGATAGATAGATAGATAGATATAGATAGATAGGAGAGAGAGAGATGATGATGAACAGACAGACAGACAGATAGATAGATGAGAAAGGGTGGAAGAGGGACTAGAGAGAGAGAAGAGAGATGATAGATAGATAGATAGATAGATAGATAGATAGATAGATAGATAGATAGATAGATAGATAGAAGATTGTGAATGGATGGATGGATAAAGATACATAGCAATAGATAGATGATGGATAGATTATAGATTGATAGACAGACAGATAGATATAGGTGTGTGTGTGAATGTATGTATGTATGTATGTATTTACCCTGTTTCGGGAGTGAAATGCTACTGGTTCAGGCGAATAGGTAGTAAAAAATGCTTTTAAAAAGTTTTTAAAAAAAGGCTCCTACAATCAGAGCTGTGCCGTGCAATCGTCAGAGCCTTTTTTTTATTTTTATTTTTACTTTTTTAAAGCATTTTTTACTACCTATTCGCCCGAACCAGTAATAAAAAATGCTTTTAAAAAGTTTTTAAAAAGGTTCCCACGATCGCGCGCCACAGCTGCTCACCTCCCACCGCTCTGTTCTACTTACTTTCCCAAGCCTCCTTCTCGCGCTGCACTGTGCGTGTGCGTGCGCAGCTCGCATTTGGGGCGCACTGGGCATGTACACGCACAGCACACGTTTTAAACCGGTTCAGATTTCACCACTGCCCTGTTTCCCCGAAAATAAGACCTGCCCGGATAATAAACCCAATTGGGCTTTTGAGAGCATTTGCTAAAATAAGCCCCCCCCAAAAAATAAGCCCTCCCTGAAAATATTTAAACACATGTGCAGCTGGTCCCCGCCATTTCCTCTGCTTAGGGTTAGGGAGACAGAGCTGGAAATCAGGGGAGACGGCAAGAGGAGCCCCGTCTTGCTCCACGCGCCCCAAAATAATAAGACCTCCCCGAAAATAAGGCCGAGCACTTATTTCGGGGTTCAAAAAAATATAAGACAGGGTCTTATTTTCCGGGGAAACACGGTATCTACAGGTAGTCCTCGATTTACAACAGCCCGTTTAGTGACCGTTCAAAGTTATGTCACTGAAAAAGTGACTTACGACCATTTTTCACACTTACGACCGTTTCAGCATCTCCATGGTCACGTGATTTACATTCGGATACTTGACAGCTGACTCGCATTTATGACGGTTGCAATATCCCAGGGTCACGTGATCGCCTTTTGCGACCTTCTGACAAGCAAAATCAGTTTGGGCTCAGTTGTGGTCTTAAGTTGAGGACTGCCTGTCTTATAGTTAGCCCTCTCCTTACGACCGATCGCTTAGCAACTGTTTGAAGTTGCAATAGACCCCCCCAAAAAATGTAGAGGTGTTCCTTGACTTAACAATCATTCGTTCTGTGACCATTCAAAGATACAACGGCAGTGAAAAAAAGTGAATTGTGACCGTTTTTCACACTTAACGACCATTGCAGCATCCCCATGGTCATGTGATCAAAATTCAGTGAAGTTTGTCAACCGACTCATATTTACGACAGTTGCAGGGTCCCGGAATCACATGAGCCCCTTTTGTGTCCTAATGAGCAAACTCAAGGGGGAAGCCAGATTCACTTAACAACCGGGTTATTAACTTAACAGTTGAAGTGTTTCACTTAACAACCATTTGCAAGCAAGGTCGTAAAATGGGGCACAACTCTCTTAACAGCTGCCTCACTTAGTGAAATAAGTTTTGGGCCCCTTTGTGGTCGTAAGTGGAGGACTGCCTGCAATCCATCCGTTCTGTTTCTCTAAAGCCCTGTCTCTTCTCTTTTGCTCCGCAGGACACCCGTCTCACCTACCGGCCTCCGTAGTCGCCAGTGCGGAGAGGGAAAGGGAGAGGGAGAAAGAACGAGAGCGTGAACGAGAACGAGAGCGGGAGAGAATCTCGTCCACTCCCACGGATCTCTACCTTCGCCCAGGTGAGTTCCGGTTGCCTCTTCGTGCTCCCATCACCTCCTTTAGGGTAGAATAGAAATTCTTTTATTGGCCCAGTGTGACACAAGTGTCTCCGGTGCAGAAGCTCTCACTGTGCGTACAAGCAACAAGCGATAAACCACGATCGTAATCATAAAATTGAATCATCATAAATCAGAATTAGAATTCTTTATTGGCCAAGCGCGATTGGACACACAAGGAATTTCTCTCCGGTGCGTAAGCTCTTGTCCTAATTAAATCAAGCCAAGCTTCAAAAGAAATCCAGTTAATTATTATTAGAAGCCTCATCTCGGCATGATCCAAGTGAAGCCAACTCTGACCTCACTTAATTCTCGCCCCGGGCTACCCTTGTTTTCCGTCTGGTGACTCAGTTTCCCCACATTTTCCCAAGGCAACGAGCCGTCAGGGAAAGGAGGCAGCCACGGCTACGTCCGCTCCCCGTCGCCTTCCGTCCGGAGCCAGGAATCCATCCTCCAGCAACGGCCCAGCATCTTTCAGGGCTCCAACGGGACCAGCGTCATCAGCCCGCTGGATCCGTCCGCCCAGCTGCGCATCATGTACGTCTCCTTTTGCGTTCTCGGCTTTCCGCCTGGGTCGCGGCTGGTTTTCCTCGCCAGCGGAAGCGTCTCTAAAATCTGATGGGGCTGGGAACGGGGGTGGGATGAGATTGGGGAAGGGCTGCAGGTCGTTCCTTGACCTACGACGCTAATGGAGCCTGACCGTTTAGAGTCGAATGTCGCCACGGTCCTAAATTAGGAGGGTCACCTGATCTTTTTCCAGCGGTCGTACAGTGGATGCTGTGGTTGTTAAGCAAAGCCATGGTGTGCTATGGGGACGTTTGGTAACTTCCAGTTTTCTGCAGAACCGCTCCCTTCCTCCTTTTTTCCCCCTTCCTTTTTGTTTTCCATCGTTCCTCCCTCCCTCCCTTTCCCTATTCCTTTTCTTCATTCTCTCTTTTTCCTTTTCTCCCTTCCTTTCTTTCTTACTCCCCCTTTCTCTTATTCTCCTTCCTTCCCTTCCTCCGACCTTCCTTCCTCCCTCCCTCTTTTTCTCCTTCTTTCCTTCCTTTCCTCCCTCCCTTTTTTCTCCTTCCTTTTTGTTTTCCATCCTTCCCTCCCTCCCTTTCCTTCCTTTCCTATTCCTTTTCCTTCTTCTCTTCTTTTTCTTTTTTTCTTCCTTCCTTTCTTTCTTTCTCCCTCCCTCCCTTTTTCCTTTCTCTTCCATTTCCTTCCTTTCTTCCCTCCCTCTTTTTCTCCTTCCTTCCTTCCCTCCCTTTCACTTATTCTCCTTCCTTCCTTCCCTTCCTCTGCTCTTCCTTCCTCCTTCTCTCCCTCCCATTTTTCTCCTTCCTTTGTTCCCTCCCTCTTTTTCTCCTTCCTTCCTTCCTTTCTTCTCTACTTCCCTCCCTCCCTCCCTCTCTCAGCAACTCATAACTCCGGTGTCAGCGTTCCAAATTATGCTCTTCTCTTGTAAAGCCAAGGACCCCTGTAGTTCCCTCTTAGACTTAGACTCAAAGGCCCTCACCTGGGGCCTTTTCCCCAGAAGGGACCTGATGGATGTCTCATCGGAGCTGCTCAAGCCCCCCACCCCCGGCCTCTGCCCCAACCTCCTCCTTCGCGGTTGCAGAAAACACTAAACACCTCGGACTATATATATAATCCTGGAAAACGTTGTGCTCTCCTCCCTGCTCTCCTCTCTCTCTCTCTCTTTTTTTTCTCCCCTCTCTCAATCCTCCTTTCTTTCACCCAACAGGCAGCTGCCCCCCGGCGCTCCCTCCATCACCCAAGGCCTGCCATCCTCCCGCTACAGCACCGCCGCCGACGCATTGGCTGCTCTGGTGGACGCAGCCGCCTCCGCCCCGCAGATGGAAGTGGCCAAGTCCAAAGAGGGAAAGCACGACGGCGGCGGCCGGATAGAGGAGAACCCGGGGCGCAGGTCCTCGGTGGTCAGCGAGCAGCCGCCGCCACCTCCGCCACCGATGGAGCAGAAGGCGCTGGACGGGGAGAAGAGGGGAGCTTCGGGTCCTTATGTCTCCTCAGCTTCGGCGACTTTCTCCGCCAGCAAATCCCAGAACCTGCCGTCTTCAGCCATCTACTCCGAGGCCGGGAAAGACAAAGGGCCCCCCTCCATCTCGAAGTACGAGGAGGAACTCCGCACGCGGGGCAAGACCACCATCACCGCCGCCAATTTTATCGACGTGATCATCACGCGACAGATCGCCTCCGACAAGGACGCCCGCGATCGCGGCTCGCAGAGCTCGGATTCGTCCGGCAGCCGTAAGTCGCTTTCCCTCATCCGTCTGAGTGGGGTTTTTTTGTCTTTTTTATTTTTCTACTTGGGTGGTCAGAGGGACAATTAGGGGATGGAATACAGGGAGTCCTCGATTTATGACGGTTCATTTAGTGACTGAAGTTACAACGGCCGTGAAAAAAGTGAATTAGGACCGTTTTCCACACTTACGACCGCTGCAGCATCAGTCACGTGATCAAAAGATCAGACGCCGGGGAACCAACTCATCTTTATGACGGTCGCAGTGTCCCAGGGTCACGTGATCCCTTTTTTGTGACCTCCTAACTAGCAATTCTGGGAGTTGAAGTCTTAAATCAGCCAAGCTGGGGAATTGTGGGAGTTGAAGTCCACCCATCTTAAAGCAGATTGGCTAAGAATTCTGGGAGTCGAAACCTGTACTGGTTAAAATTCCTAAAGTTTGAGAAACCAGATTCCTACAGTTGAAACCTACCAGGTTAGGAAAAGGACGGGGTCTATTCCGGAATAAGATTGTCAACAGCAGTGGGTTTCACAAATTCTTACCACAGGTTCACCCTCCGTGTACATACTCGCTTTGGGCGTGCGCCTTTCGCACATGTGGCCAGCCTTCCACGCATGTGCTTTTCTCGTATGCGTACCTTTCATGTATGCGCCCGGCCTCGAAAACAGAGGTGGTTTCAGCAGGTTCTGACCAATTCTGGAGAACCGGTAGCGGAAATTTTGAGTAGTTCGGAGAACCCGTAGTAAAAATTCTACTCCATCTACTCTCTGCCTCCCAAGTCCCAGCTGATCGATAGGAAATGGAGATTTTGCAGTATCCTTCCCCCTGGAGTGGGGTGGGAATGGAGATTTTACAGTATCTTTCCCCCTGGAGTGGGGTGGGAATGGGGATTTTACAGTAACCTTCCCCTGGAGCAGGGTGAAAATGGAGATTTTATAGTATCCTTCCCCTGGAGTAGGGTGGGAATGGGGATTTTACAGTAACCTTCTCCCTGGAGTGGGGTGGGAATGGAGATTTTACAGTATCCTTCCCCTGGAGCAGGGTGGAAATGGAGACTTTATAGTATCCATCACCTGGAGTAGGATGGGAATGGAGATTTTACAGTATCCTTCCTCTGCCAAGCCCACCAAGTTACGCCCACCAAGCCATGCCACACGCCCACTAAGCCACACCCACAAAAAATTTGAAACCCACCACTGCTAAAAAACGTGGCTAAATAGGGACAGCATTACGCCGGGGCATGGGCCCACCTGCAATCGCCGCTACCAGTTTGTTCGAACTGGTACGAACTGACTGAATGCCGCCTCTGATTGTCAAATCGTGCAGAGTTTCCTGGACTGAAAAGCAGCATAAACCCCCTTCTAAATCTCCCTCGTCTTTCCTTCCTCTTCCTCCTCCCCAGTATCCTCGTCTTCGCACCGCTACGAGCCTTCGAGAGACGCCATTGAGGTGATCAGCCCCGCCAACTCCCCAGTCCCCGCTCAGGAGAAGATGTCCCCTTACCAGCAGGAGCCCCCCAAAATGAACCCAGGAGAAAGTAAGTTTTCCCAGGAGGGAGAATTCGGCTTCTGTTTTTCTTTCCCCACTTGCAAAATTGGGCTGCTCAGATTTATAACCTAGAAATCCCAGGGCTGTAGGGGGGACCTCAGAGGTCCTCTAGTCCAGCCCTCTGCTCAAGACAGGAAATTTTGATACCATCCCAGACAAATTTATTTATTTATTTATTTATTTTATCATATTTGTATACCGCCCTACTCCCGAAGGACTCAGGGCGGTGAACAGCCAAAATAAAATACAAAGACATACAAAAGTTTAAAAAACTATTAAAAACAGATTAAATAATTTAGGCTCAAAGAACAAATTAAGACATCCAATTTATCTAAAAAACATTTAAAACCCAATTTAAAAGCCAATTTAAAAGGGAGAGTTAGGCCAGACCAGCCTGTTGGAATAAAAACGTTTTTAGGGCGATGTGTAAGATGCGTAAGAAATGAATTTCTCTTAAGATTTGAGACCAAGCTACAGTAGTGGCCAAAATTGTGGAAACCTTTTTGGGAAAAGTGCATTGTCTAAAACTAGCTAATAACACCCCTATTTTTTGGAGTAGTACCATAAAATTATGTATCAATGGAAAGATAATTTAACCAAGAATGTAATGCAATAACTTTTATGAAGGATTTACTATGAAAATAGCAGTTACAGTAGAAAGAGGAAAAGTGAAACACGTCGAAAAACGAGATATACAAAAATGATCCCCATAGAAAAAACGAGATATACAGAAATGATCCCCATGTCAGTTAATCCTTAGTTGGGTAACCTTTAGCATGAATGACGGCCTTACATGGAGGGAACCAAGTCTGTTAGTTCTGCAGCTGTTATAGAGTGAAACTAAGATTGAATGATGGCTTCTGTTAACTGGGTTTTATTGCTGGGTCACTTCTGACTAACAAGTTTCTTTAGTCGGCTCCATAGATTTTCCATTGGGTTAAGATCTGGGCTATTCCCAGGCCATTCCAGCAGTGAAATAGGATTCTCTTGAAACTCCAAAAAAACAAAAAAGTGGTGTTATTAGCCATCAAACCTCTAATATACACTTTCCCCAAAAGGTTCATTATTAGTTGAATCATTAAAAATATTATAGTATAAATAGCTTTTCTTCCCAGAAAAGCAATTGACTATTAAGAGCCTTGGTAGTACAGGGGTTTAAGGCACCCTGTTATTAAGCTGGTTATTAAGACCAGCTGCCTGCAATTACTGCAGGTTCGAATCTCACCAGGCTCAAGGTTGACTCAGCCTTCCATCCTTTCTAAGGTAGGTGAAATGAGGACCCAGTTTGTGGGGGCAATAAGCTGACTTTGTATAAATATACAAAAGGATGAAGGCTATTGCTTAGCGCATTGTAAGCCGCCCTGAGTCTTCGGAGAAGAGCGGCATATAAATCAAATAAAAAAAAAAAATTAAACAATGGGGTATAAATTTAGAAATGAAAAGTTTAGTGGAGTATGAAGAATAAGAAATACATGTTTGCCCGTAATATCTGGTAGAAGAGATAGGAAAAGGGTTACAGTAAAGAACTGTGGAAGGGAAGAAGAGAAGGGGGGGGAAATGCATCTTGTGCCTGTGTCAAGTGCCCACTGTGGCCACGCCTACCCTGGCCACCCCCAACTCCCCCCCCACCCCAGCCCTCCGAGGTCAAACACAATCCTGATACGGCCCTCAATGAAATCGGGTTTGACACTCCTGACTAGGTGGCTCAGTGGCTAAGACGCTGAGCTTGTCGATCTGAAAGGTCGGCGGTTCGAATCCCTAGTACAGGTCTCCTTCGTGAGCAGGGGGTTGGGCTGGATGACCTCCAAGGTCCCTTCCAACTATGTTTCTGTTACTCCTGGTTTAACAAACCTCTCTCCCCTTCCCTTTGGGCCACGCAGGAGACTGCGGCCGCCAGTACGAGGGGTCCAGCCATCCTTACAGACCCGCGCAGGATTCGCCCTCGCCACAGCAACCGCCGTGCCAGCAGCAGCCCCAGGCACCCCCAGCACCACAGACGGCCCCTCCACCCGTCCAGACTCACCGTGTGATCACCTTGGCCGACCACATCTGTGTAATTTGCACTTTGGAGCGTCCATTTTTGAGGGGTAGGTAGAGAGATAGATAGATATAGAAATAGATAGATAGATAGATAGATAGATAGATAGATAGATAGATAGATAGATAGATAGATAGATAGATAGATAGATGTAGGTAGGTAGGTAGGTAGGTAGGTAGGTAGGTAGGTAGGTAGGTAGGTAGTAGGTAGGTAGGTAGGTAGGTGGATGGATGGATGGATAGAAATAGATAGAAAGAAAGAAATGGATGGATGGATAGAGATAGATAGATAGATAGATAGATAGATAGATAGATAGATAGATAGATAGATAGATAGATAGATAGATGATAGATAGGATAGATAGATAGATAGATAGATAGATAGATAGATAGATAGATAGATAGATAGATAGATAGATAGATAGATAGATAGATAGATAGAGAAACAGACAGACAATAGATGGATGGATCGATGGATGAATGGACGGACGGACGGACAGATGAAGATAGGTAGGTAGGTAGACACACACATGGATGGATGGATAGATAGATAGATATAGGTAGATGGATGGATAGAGATAGATAGATAGATAGATAGATAGATAGATAGAATAGATAGATAGATAGATAGATAGATAGATAGATAGATAGATAGATAAGCAATAGAAGGGAATATTTGCTGCTCAGGGTTGAACTGTGGCATTCCTATTGCTCTGTGGTTTCCTTGCAGACGTTTCAGGACCCAACTAGGTAACACCATCAGTGCTAGAAGGGAGGTGGCATTGTTCACTGCTTATAAACAGGTGGCTTGCCCTGTCAGTGTCGGTGGGACGGGTGTGGTTTTCTCCTTGGTGGTTCCTTAGTGAGGATTACTGTTCATGTCCCAGGTTGAGCAGTAAACAGAGACCAAATCCCCCTCCCTCCCAGCACTGATGATGTTCCCTAGCCCGGTCACGAAACGCCTGCAAGGAAGCCGCCGAGCTCAGACCCTGAGCTACGAATCTTCCCTCTTGTTTGAGAGCTAAAATAATAATAATAAAAAAAAATTCCTCTTGTGCGTTTCCTGCTTTGCCTCTCGATTCTTGCTGGAGCTTTGAAAAGGAAAGCAGGCTAACAGGTGATATTTCTCTCCCCATCTCTTTTTATTGGGATCTGCTCCTTCCTGGCCCAGCAAATCATCACGCAGGATTTTGCCCGCAGCCAGGCGTCCAACCAGCCTTCCCTTCCGACTCCCACCAGCACATTCCAGACCTCGGCTCTGACCTCCGTCACCACGACAAACCGGGCCAAGGCTTCGAACCGCTACAGCCCTGACATCCAGGTGCAAGCCGCCCCCCACCAGCGCCCGGGGTCCCGGATGTCCCCCGAAAACCTCTCTGAGAAAAGCAGGGGCAGGTAACCTCCCCTCCTTCCCTTCCCTTCTCTTCTCTCGTCTTTCGGTTCCTGGTTCTCTTCTTCCGTTCCTTTCCTCCTTTCTCTCCTTCTTTTGTTCTTTCTCTCAATGTTGTGTTTCCTATTCTCTTCTTTCTTTCTTTTTTTCCTTCCTTCCTTCCTTCCTTTCACCCTCTGACGTGTCTCTCTTTCCTCTCTCCCTCCCTCTTGTCTCTTCTTTTTAATGTCCTGTCATCTTTCTTCCTTCCTTCCTTCCTTCTTTCCTTCCTTCCGTCCGTCCATCCTTCCTTCCTTCCTTCCTTCTCCCTCCCTCCCTCCTTCCTTGTTATTTTCATTCTTCCCCCTTCCCTCCCTCTATTCCTTCCTTCTTCCCTTCCTTCCTATTTTCCTTCCTTCTTTATATTCCTACCCTTCCTCCCTCCCTCCCTTTTTATCCTCCCTTCCTTCCTCCCTCCATCCCACTTTTTCTCCTTCCTTCCTTCTTTCCTCCCTCCCCTTTTTCCTCCCTTCCTTCCTGTTTCCCTTTCTACTTTTTTATTTTCCTACCTTCCTTCTCTCCCTCCCTCCCTTCTTCATTCCTTCCTTCCTCGTTATTTTCATTCTTCCCCCTTCCCTCCCTCTATTCCTTCCTTCTTCCTTCTTATTTTCCTTCCTATCTTATTTTCCTTCCTTCTTTATTTCCCTACCCTTCCTCCCTCCCTCCCTTTTTCTCCTTCCTTCCTTCTTTCCTCCGTCCCTTTTTTCCTCCTTCCTTCCTGTTTCCCTTTCTACTTTTTTATTTTCCTTCCTTCCTCCCTCCATCCCTCTTTTTCTCCTTCCTTCCTTCTTTCCTCCCTCCCCTTTTTCCTCCCTTCCTTCCTGTTTCCCTTTCTACTTTTTTATTTTCCTTCCTTCCTTCCCTCCCTCCCTTCTTCATTCCTTCCTTCCTCGTTATTTTCATTCTTCCCCCTTCCCTCCCTCTATTCCTTCCTTCTTCCTTCCTTCCTATTTTCCTTCCTATCTTCTTATTTTCCTTCCTTCTTTATTTCCCTACCCTTCCTCCCTCCCTCCCTTTTATTCCTTCTTTCCTCCGTCCCTTTTTTCCTCCTTCCTTCCTGTTTCCCTTTCTACTTTTTTATTTTCCTTCCTTCCTTCCTCTCTCCCTCCCTCCCTCTTTTTCTCCTTCCTTCCTTCTTTCCTCCCTCTCCTTTTTCCTCCCTTCCTTCCTGTTTCCCTTTCTACTTTTTTATTTTCCTTCCTTCCTTCCCTCCCTCCCTCCCTTCTTCATTCCTTCCTTCCTCGTTATTTCCATTCTTCCCCCTTTCCTCCCTCTATTCCTTCCTTCTCCCTTCCTATTTTCCTTCCTATCTTCTTATTTTCCTTCCTTCTTTATTTCCCTACCCTTCCTCCCTCCCTCCCTTTTTCTTCCTTCCTTCCTCCCTCCATCCCTCTTTTTCTCCTTCCTTCCTTTTTTCCTCCGTCCCTTTTCTCCTCCCTTCCTTCCTGTTTCCCTTTCTACTTTTTTATTTTCCTTCCTCCCTCCTTCCATCCACCTGCCCCACTTTATTGCAAAAAAAAAATGTGAATAGCTCCTTAGATTGTCTCTGTAAACTGCTTATTCTCTCCTCAGGATATCCTTAGGCTGGCCTGCGAATATATTCAGAAGCTACGGGCTGACGTGAGCGGGACCAGCCTCCTTGCTGCTCTGAATTGGAGTTTGGGACAGCCTCTCCGCCGTGGATATCCACGGCAGCTCTTCATCCTGATGGATTCCAGCGTAGAAAACCCAGGCAAGGTTATTGAGCTAGTCAGGAGACAAGCAAGCACTGTCAGGTACGAAGTTGTTTTAACTGGCCTCAAAAACTTTGGGCTTTTCTGTTCCCAGGCTACAAATTTATCTTCCCAGATGCCTGGCCCTAGAAACACCTTGAGGAAGAGAACAGTTCCATATTGTGAGTGTCAAGTTTCCAAAAGATGCCCTAATAAATTCATGAGCCATGATCCAAATTTCAAAGGAAATATAGTCATTTATTAGGAGCAACATTCCGGCAATACTCGGATGCAGTTAGGACTGATCCTACGTAGATTTACGTTCCCCTATGACTCTGTCTCTCCCCTCCTCTCTGGCCATGTCATAAATCACATTCTCCAATTAACCACTTTGGCTGGCTGTGAAACCTAACACCCTCCTTCTGATTGCGGTCAGAAAGAATGTATGGAATTCACTTCAGTTCTCCCTCCCTCCTGCTCATGGCAACTTGAAAGCTTTGCAAGTTGACATTGAGCTTTAAAAGTCAACAGATACCTGCCACAAACAACTCAACCTGGAGTTCAAAATAAACCACACTGAAAACTTGTAGAACCAATTTGGGAGAGAACTGAGGGGGGACCTTCCTCCCTCCCAAATATGGGCACAGCGGGGTATACTTTCAAACCTGGAGGGGGAATCGCAAGAGCATCTTCCAAATGATGTGGAATTTGCCATTGTTGTCAATATACAGCCTCCTGCTACGTAACTAAGCTCCGTTTCATGCTGAATGAACTAAATTATTTATGTATCTTAAATAGAAAACTATCTTACGATAGATTTTTACCCCAAAAGTTTTTTATTAAAATAAATTCGATAAAAATCAAAAAAATCCGATTTAAATCAAAAAAATCTGATTTTTTTGATTTTTTTTAAAAAATCATTGATTTTTATCCACCCTGCCCACAAGTGCTTTGTCGCTGCCTTTTCTCATGTTTTTGTTTTAAACATCCTGGTCTAGTTTACAATCCTGAGATCTCCTTGTGGTCTCCCATCCAGCTCGACTTCATCTCGACCCAGCTTGGCCAGATGCTGCCAGTTGTGACTCCCAGGCCAACATTAATCATTTTTGCTTCCATTTCTTTATCCTGATGCCAATTTCTGTGCTTTTCTCTTCAGTTTGAACTCAAAACACCCCAGCCAATTAGAAAAATTGTTTTTTTCTCCCTGACTTATCTTGGAAAGAGATTTTCCTCTCTTTTGCCAAGGGGCATTTTGTGTGGTGTGTTGCAAGAGCTTCTTGGTTTTTTAGTGATACGTCTCTATTTTGCAGCTGCTCAGTAGAAGGAGAAACCGGAGGCGAAGGCGTGCTACTGTCCGTGCATCGCAATTATTAATATCCCCAGAGGTCACATTCCCAGGATCTCCAGCTGGTGCGGCTGCCAAAATTCCAGCTGTCCACTTGCCAAAACATGCAATGCATTTAAATCATCCCGACCTCTCCCTTGGGGGTGGGGGGGCAGATAGTAGGGGCAGCAGTTATCCACAGTATTGGATTCTCTTTGTTTCCTCCTTTTCTTCTTTTCTTTTAAAAAGAGCAGACCAGGCAAAACTGCATTCAGTTTGAGCGTTTGAGGTGCTTTGCTTTATTCTTGCTTTCCTTAATGGATTCCTCCTCCTTTGGGAGGGAGGGAGGGAAGAAGGAAAGAAAAAAAGGGAGGGAGGGAGGAGAAAGAAAGAAAGAGAAAGGGAGGGAGGGAGGATGGATGGAAGGAAAGAAGAAAAAGAAAGAAAGAAAGGGGGAGGGAGGGAAGAAAAAGAAAGAAAAAGGAAGGAAGGAAAGGGAGGGAGGATGGAAGGAAAGAAAGAAAGGGAGGGAGGAAGGAAAGAAAGAAAAAGGAAGGAAGGAGAGAGGATGGATGGATGGATGGAAAGAAAGAGAATGAAAGAAAGAGGAAGGGAGGAAAGAACGAAAAAGGAAGGAAGGAGAGAGGATGGATGGATGGAAAGAAAGAGAGAGAAGAAAAGGAAGGAAGGAAGGAAAGGGAGGAGGGGGGATGGAAGGAAAGAAAGAAAGGAAAGAGGGTAGATGGATGGAAGGAAGAAAGGAAGGAAAGAGAAACAATTGATCAGAGTCACTTGACTGAGATGGGCAGCTATTGGAGTTATAGCAAGAAATAGATGATACGTAAATGATGTCAGAGAAGCGGGATGATATCTGGTCCTTTCCTAAAATTGTAGGAATTAGTTTGATGAGGAGGTACTACCAGGAGCTCAATCGCCCTTCTTACATTCTCTTTGTTTTCTTCTATTTTCCATTACTTCTTTCCCTTTGCTTCCTCCCAGCCTTCTCCTCTTTCCTTTGTTTCTTGCTTCATTTCTTGTTTCCTTCTTTCGTTCTTCCTCGTCCCTCCTTCCCTCAACTTTCCATTAATTTCCTATTCGCTCCTTCCTTCCTTCCTTCCTCCCTCCCTCCCTCCCTTCCTTCCTTCTCTCATTTTCCTTCCTTCTTCCGTTTCTCCCTTCCTTCATTTTCATTCGTTTCCTTCCCTCCCTCAATTCTCCTCTTTCCTTCCTTTCTTCCCTCCCTCCCTATTCCCATCTCCTTCCTTCATTGCTTCACCCTTTCTCATTTGATTTTCTTCTTTTCTTCTTCCTTCCTTCCTTCCCTTCCTTTTCCTTCCTACCTTCCTTTATTTTTCTTTTTTTTAAAAAAAATGATTTATATGCCGCCCTTCTCCGGAGACTCAGGGCGGCTTACAATGCGTTAAGCAATAGCCTTCATCCTTTTGTATATTTATACAAAGTCAGCTTATTGCCCCCACAAACTGGGTCCTCAATTTACCCACCTTAGAAAGGATGGAAGGCTGAGTCAACCTTGAGCCTGGCGAGATTCGATCTTACTTTAATTGCAGACAGCTGGTGTTAAATTACAGTGCTTCTGTCTGTTGAGCTAAACCAGGCTCCTGGTTTTTATTTCCTTCCTTCTCTACCTCACATCCTCCTCTTTTCTTTCTTTCTTTCTTTTCTTTCTTTCTTTCTTTCTTCCTCTATCCCTCCATCCCTCCTTCACCTCATTTTCACTTTCTCATTTTCCTTCCTTCTTTCTTTCCTTCCTTCCTTCCTTCCTTCCTTCCTTCCTTCCTTCCTTCCTTCCTTTCCAATGCTTCCTTCTATTTCCAGTTCTCTCCTTTCTTCCTTCTTCACAGAGGCATCCTAGAAAATAACAATTTAATTTCCGGCCCTAATACCATATGAGAAAATTAACCCCTTTTAACAGGGCTCACCCATATTCGCGTGGGTGCACACAAATACCTTTTCAGGTGTGTCTGCCTTTGAAGGAATGGTAGGAATGCTTTACAGCTTCACACTCCTAGCTTAACACAATCACACAACATATAAAGTTTAGGCTTTTTTTCCCCCCTCGCTTAATAAAAATGGGAGGTTTAATTGGGGTTTCCTGTCCCTGCCGGAAAAAGGGCAGGCAATTTTTTTATTTTTAATCCTTGTTTCAAGGGATGAAGATTACCATAAATGCAGGCTTATCTTCCTTTTGGCTAAATACGGTAATTTCAAAAATCAAATTTTTACAACTCTATCATTAAGCAGCCTGGCTGTGGAATTACATCTGCAATGAATCACCTTTTTTTCAGTTTCTAAATCGCCTCCTTATTAAGCTCTTAACAACCGCCTGGCATGTAAATATTTAGTAGGTGATTCACATCAGCTTTTGAAGATACTTAAAAAGTCACCTTTTGGACAGCAAAAAGGGTGACGAAACAGACACACACAGAAAAGGATCATTATTCTGGGTTTAGGCTGCAATTCAAATCGGTTTCAGCTCCGATGATTTCATCTCCTTTTATTAGGGAGAACTATTACGGACTCTTTTAAATTGTGTTTCTTTTCCCCTTTGGACCCAACTAAATGAGAAGGCAGAATTGATAGATGGGGTCATGTCTGGTTCACGAGGGTGAGGGATTTTTATTCTTCTTATTGTTGTTATTAAAAACATCTGGTCTTGCAGAAAGTAAAAGAAGAATGACTTTTACTGAACAAGTGTTGGATTTGGAGTCCAAGTGCTTGGAGCGTGGTTGAAAACCCTTTTCGTGGAAAAGAAACAAAACAAGAGCGAGTTTTGGTCCGGTGGTTAAGGTAGGCCGGGCTCAAAACCAGGAGATGTGAGTTCTAGTTCAATGTTAGGCACAAAAGTTTGACTGGGTGATTTGTGACCAATCACCAGGAGATGGTGAGTTCTAGTCCTGTCTTAGGCATGAAAGCCGACTGGGTGACTTTAGGCCAATCACTAGGAGATGGGAAGTTCTAGTCCTCTTTTAGGCATAAAAGTCGGCTGGGTGACTTTAGGCCAATCACCAGGAGACGGTGAGTTCTAGTCCTGTTTTAGGCATGAAAACCAGCTGGATGAATTTAAGCCAATCACCAGGAGATGGTGAGTTCTAGTCCTGTTTTAGGCATAAAAGTCGGCTGGGTGACTTTAGGCCAATCACTAGGAGATGGTGAGTTCTAGTTCTGTCTTAGGCATGAAAGCCGACTGGGTGATTTTAGGTCAATCACCAGGAGATGGTGAGTTCTAGTCCTGTCTTAGGCATGAAAACCGACTGGGTGACTTTAGCCCAATTACCAGGTGATGGGAAGTTCTAGTCCTCTTTTAGGCATGAAAGCCGGCTGGGTGATTTGTGACCAATCACCAGGAGATGGTGAATTCTAGTCCTGCTTTAGGCATGAAAACCAACTGGGTGACTTTGGCCCAATCACCAGGAGATGGTGAGTTCTAGTGCCATCTTAATCCTGAAAGTCATCTGGGTGATTTTGGGACAATCACCGGGAGAACTGGGAATTCTAATCCTGCCCTTCACTCTCTCTCTCTCTCTCAGCCTAACCCACCTCACAGGATTGTCGTTGTGGGGAAAATAAGAGGAGGAAGGAGTGTTAGACGTGTTCATTGCCCTGAGTTTTTTTAAATAAAAATTATAAAGATTTGATATAAATCAAATGAGTAAATTACTAAACCATGAGATTCCAGAAGGATGAAGAGGGGATGAGGGATTCTGGGTCTGTCTGTCTTTGTCTCTCTTTCTCTGTTGCTCGCTCAATTAAAATTAAAATAAATATTTTTTATTTATTTCTTACAACCCTATGCCTTTTTTCCCCTCCCTGCTAGGGGAAAAAGGAGCTGCATCCTAGCTGTCAAGATGGACCCTTCTTTGCCGGTCATAGCAGAAGAATTGCTGCAAGAAATCCAGAAATCTTTCCGTGAAACTTCCCAGAGTAAGTGGTGGACATTTATCTACAGGTAGTCCTCAATTTACGACCGCAGTTATGCCCAAAATTCCCCTTGCTAAGCAAGACAGCTGCTAAGCAAGTTTTTTTTCCCCACTTTACGACTTTTCTTTGCCAAAAGGTGTTAAGCGAATCACTGCAATTATTTAAGTTAATAACACATCGTTAAGTGAATCCGGCTCCCTTATTGACTTTGTTTGTCAGAAATTCGCAAAAGGGGGGATCCCGCGACTTCCGGGACACGGCGACTGTCATAAATATGAACCATTTGCCCAAGCATCTGAATTTGGATCACGTGACCGTGAGGAGAACGGTCGTAAGTGTGAAAAATGGTCGTCAGTCAATTTTTTTCGGTGCCGTTTGAACTTCAGTCACTGCTGCCGGATTTGGGTTTGGCTAGTCTAAAGAAAAGAAGAATTAGTGGGGGGGGGGGATATGATAGCAGTATTCCAGCATTTGAGAGGTTGCCCCAAGGAAGAGGGGGTCAAATTATTCTCCCAAAGCACCAGAAGGCAGGATGAGAAGCAACGGATGGAAACTAACCAAAGAGAGAAGCAACCTGGAATTAAGGAGAAACTTCCTAACAAGTGAGGACAATTAACCAGTGGAACTGCTTGCCACCAGAAGTTGTGGGTGCTCCAACACTGGAGGTTTTCAAGAAGAGATTGGACAACCACTTCTCTGAAATGGTATAGGGCAGTGATGGCTAACCTTTTTGCCATCGCGTGCCAGGAAGGGGTGAGGTGGGGGAGGCTTGCCCGTGCATGTGCCCACACCCATAATTCTATGTGCCCCGCCACGCACATGCGAGCGCGACCCCCCTTTCCGCGCCCCCCCCACTCCTGGCACGCGATGGCTCGGTAGGCCCATTTTTCTTTCTCACCTGACTCCAGATCCTTTCTATGCATCTGGGGAGGGCGGAAACCACCCTCCCCAGATGCATAGAGAGGATCTGGAGCCAGGGAGAAAGAAAAACGGGCCTTCCCCTGCCCCCCCAGGCCCTCTTCTGGTGGGCCCAAAAGGGCCGAAAATCAGCTGACAGAGCTGAGCTGGCGTGCCAGGCAACATGACTCCGCTTGCCATGGGTTCGCCATCACGGTTATAGGGTCTCATGCTTAAGCAGTGGGCTGGACTAGAAGACCTCCAAGGCCCCTTCCAGCTCATTCTATTCTATTCTATTTATGACTACCTGCACTGCACTCCCCCCACCTCATCCCCGCCCCCGCCCAGACTCTCCTTAAAAACTGGCTGCAAAATAGACCTGCAAGGGAATACTTTCCAATCCCAGCTGGTGACCAGCAGAGAGTGCCAAAGTTCTGGAATGATTCCCTTTAAGGAGGTCACTTTGGCACGAGTGATTTTTCTCCCTCTCTCTCTTTCTCTCTCTCTCGGCGGCTGCTTTCAACAGACCAGGAAAAATGATTATGCTCTTTATCATTAGAAAGCGGATTCAATAAGCCACAGAATAAACAAATAAATAAAAATAATACAATTTATTATATTATTTATATATATAAAAAATAAATAATATAAAGCCTTAGTAAGGCCACACCTAGAGTACTGCGTCCAGTTTTGGTCACCACACTATAAAAAAGATGTTGAGACTCTAGAAAAAATGCAGAGAAGATCAACGAAGAGGATTAAGGAACTGGAGGCTAAAACGTAACGATGGACAGTTGCAGGAACTGGGCCTGGCTGATCTAGGGAAGAGAAGGACCAGGGGAGACAGGAGAGCATCTTCCAGTATTTGAGGGGCTGCCCCAGGGAGGAGGAAGGGGGTCAAGCTATTTTCCAAAGCACCCGAAGGCCAGGGAAGAAATAATGGATGGAAACTGAACAAGGAGAGATTCAACCTGGAAATAAGGAGGAATTTTCTGACAGTGAGAAACAATCTACCCATGGAACAGAAGTTGCCTTCGGAAGTTGTGGGAGCTTCATCACTGGAGGCTTTCAAGAAGAGACTGAACTGCCATCTGTCAGAAATGGTGCAGGATCTCCTGCTTGGGCGGGGGGTTGGACTAGATGACCTCCAAGGTCCCTTCCAACTCTGTTAATCTGTTAAATAAATAGGAGGTCTTCAGCAACCTAGCTAGGGGCATTCTGGGAGTTGAAGTCCACCCAACTGTTCGAGGTTGAGAACCACTGCCTTAGAGGCCTCTCCCCCACCCCCTTAAAAAACGCCATCCATTCTGAAAACTCTGCCGCAGGTCCCTTGTTCCTTTTGCCAGTTTTGGGGGGGTGGTAGGCTGGCAGTCTCCCATTTTGAGGCTTTTTGGGTGATACCCACCAAAATCCAGCCAGGTAATCTCAGGGCATCCCTTGTCCTCTTCTGCTTTAGAGCATCCGGCTGGGTTTTTCTTTTCTTTTCTCTTCTTTTTTTTTTTCTTTTCATCTCAACTCCGCAGTTGTTCCGTAGCCAAGCGGCTTGGCCAAATCCCCGAGGATTCTCAAATAGCTTTCAGGAACAAAGCGTTGCCCTATCCCTCGTGAGAAAAATGAGTTTCCGTCCACTGACGCTTCCCTCATTTTGCCCGTGTGATTGGCAAATTGCTTGCCAACTCATGAAATATTCTATTCGACTCTACCCTGTAAACAATATATTGAGCCGACACCTTTCTAAGACATTAATATTGATTTTTTTTTCTCCTCTCTCTCTTTTTTTGCAGTTTCGGATGAGCTTCTTCTGGCGTGAGTACTTTTGGCTGTTCTTGCTTTTTAATTCGTCTACTTTTTGTTTTGGAATGAGGACCTGAATCTAAAGCGGGATTTCTCAAGCTCAGCAACTCCATCTGAGGGATTCTGGGAGGGGAAGTCCACCCGTCTTAAAGCATACCAGTTGGGGAATTATACTTAGAATAGAATAACAGAGTTGGAAGGGACCTTGGAGGTCTTCTAGTCCAACCCCCTGCTTAGGCAGGAAACCGTACACCACTTCAGACAAATGGTTATCCAATCTTTTCTTTAAAACTTCCAGTGTTGGAGCATTCACAACTTCTGGAGGAAAGTTGTTCCACTGATTAATTGTTCTAACTGTCAGAGTTTCAATTCTGGGAGTGGAAGTCCACCCCTCTTAAAGCATTGCAACTGGGGAATTCTGGGAGTGGAAGTCCACCCCTCTTAAAGCATTCTAGCTGGGGAATTCTGGGAGTGGAAGTCCACCCCTCTTAAAGCATGCTGGATGGGGAATTCTGGGAGTGGAAGTCCACTCCTCTTAAAGAATTGCAACTGGGGAATTCTGGGAGTGGAAGTCCACCCCTCTTAAAGAATGCAGGCTGGGGAATTCTGGGAGTGGAAGTCCACCCCTCTTAAAGCATGGCTGGCTGGGGAATTCTGGGAGTGGAAGTCCACCCCTCTTAAAGCATGCTGGCTGGGGAATTCTGGGAGTGGAAGTCCTCCCCTCTTAAAGCATGCTGGCTGGGGAATTCTGGGAGTGGAAGTCCACCCCTCTTAAAGCATGGCTGCCTGGGGAATTCTGGGAGTGAAAGTCCACCCCTCTTAAAGCATGCCGGCTGGGGAACTCTGGGAGTGTGACTAACTTAATAACTGCAGTGATTCACTTAACAACTGAGGCAAAAACAGGGCAAAACCCACATAACAAATGTCTCACTTACAAAAATAAATAAAAGAACAGGGAAAATGGAGGGAAAGGGGGAAAGAGAAATGAGGATGGGTAGGGAAAAGTAAAGAAAAGAAAAAGAAGCATTGACTTCCAACTCTCTCTATTGCAGTAGAATAGGGCACTAACATCAAATCACAGCTTTTTGTTTTTCCATAATAATATGAACGAGTCATTTCTATGAAGATCTATCAATCCAATCTGTAAAACCCAGATTCAAAGTTATATTCTTTTCCACCTCAAGCACGAAATTCAGAAGCGGTTTCCATCTGGAAATGAAAGTTCTTTTCTTTAACCAGAGTAATTAGTTTTGTCATTTAGCCAACTCCATTGACTTCTGCATCCATTCTTCCATGGTAGGAATCGAAGTGTCCTTCCATTTTTGCGCATACAATCGTCTTGCTGCTGTCGGCATGTAATGTAGTGGCCAAAATTGTGGAAACCTTTTGGGAAAAGTTGTATTTTTGAGGTTTGATGGCTAATAACACCACTTTTTTTTTTGTTTGGAGTTTCAAGAGAATCCTATTCCACTGCTGGAATGGCCTGGGAATAGCCCAGACCTTCTTAACCCAATTGAAAATCTAGGGAGCCGACTAAAGAAACTTGTTACTTGGAAGCAACCCAGCAATAAAACCCAGTTAATAGGAGCCATCATTCAATCTTGGCTTCACATCATAACAGCTGCAGAACTAAAAGACTTGGTTCATTCCATGGGAAGACGTTGTAAGGCCATCATTCAGGCTAAAGGTGACCCAACTAAGGATTAACTGACATGGGGATCATTTTTGTATATCTCGTTTTTTCTACGTGTTTCACTTTTCTACTTTATACTGTAACTGCTATTCTCATAGCAAATCCTTCCTAAAAGTGATTGCATTACATTCTTGATTAAATTATCTTTCCATTGATATATAATTTTATGGTACTACTCCAAAAATAAGTGGTGTTATTAGCTAGTTTTAGAAAATGCACTTTTCCCAAAAGATTTCCACAATTTTGGCCGCTACTGTATAGTAGCAAAGTCTCATTTTTTTTTTCTCCAGTTCTTTTCCGTTAATCCCAAAAGGAAAAATTCTGGTTTCATTTCTATCTCCATTTTCAGGATTTTCTGTATTAGAGTTGTGAATCATATTCCAATTTTTATTTTTTTTGCTTTATCGCATGTCCACCTTCTTCATTCTTACACTTCCAACATTCATTTGACATACCTTTATTCGTCTTAGATATCTCGGGTTAAATATCAGTGATACATCATCTTATAAAAGTTCTCTTTTAAATAATAATTTAAAGTAATTTTTCAACCCTTAGTCCACATATTTTTTCCATTGTTCAAGCATCACATTATATCCAAAACTCCTTGCCCACTGAATCATACTTTTATTTACTTTTGTATTTTATAATATTTTATAACCTAATAAAAATGTTTTTTTAAAAGTGGGGGGAAACAAACAAACGTCTCACTTAACCACATAAATTTTGGGCTCAATTGTGGTCATAAGCCAAGGACTACCTGTGTAGGGTTTCCGGCCAGAGGAAACAATTCCACCCCACCCAATGCAGAGAAAGCTCCAAATTCAGATTTATTTATTTATTTATTTTTGCAAAGTCCATTTTGCGGCTTTTTGTTGTGGCTTCCGCAGAAGAGCCTGATCCGGGGTGTGAGGGTACACAAAACAGAGCTGCAACAGAGTGCACTTAGCTCTCATTCGTGCTGCAAAATATTCATTGGTGTATATAAATCCGCACGTGGCTTTCGTTTATTGCGTGCAGCTGTTGCAACGGTAGAAACGGCTTTTGCCTTTCGAGGGTTGTTTTGCGAGCGTCAGCTACGCAGACCCACAAACTAGGGAAGTGGTACACATGGGTTTTAAGGTGCACAGCAGAGAATGTGGCTTTCTGGGGTGCTCGGTCTCTCTCCGTTTCCTTCCTGGTAGCTCTCTTCTTGCAGAACTTTTAATTACACGAAGAGGTGAGGTGGACTGAAGAACATGAGGGCAAGGAAGTCAAGATGGCCGCCATACCGTTGAGCTTTGAGTGAATCAAGTTTTATATAAACAATATATATATATATATATTCTTACTTTTTCGTAGGTTTTATGTGTGTTTTTCTTTTAGCCAGGTTTTTCCTACGTAACCAAGATTTTTCTACAGCCCTAGCTCAGTGGAGTCACATTCACTCGATTCTGGGCTTTTTTTCTTCTGGCAGCCAGCAGGCCCTATGCTGCCTAGTATATATATATATGTGTGTGTGTGTGTGTGTTTTTCTTTCTTTTTCGTAGGTTTTATGTGTATCTCTCTTTAGCCAGGTTCTACCTACGTAAGCCAAGATATTATGCAGCCCTAGTTCAGTGAAATCACAATTCACTAGAAGAAGAAAAAAGAAAAAAAGAAAAAAAAAGAAAAAAAAGCCCAGAAACAGGAGGCTGTGAGTTCGATCCTATGTAGAGGCAGATATTTCTCTCTCTGGGCACAATGAGAATGTATTTGCTGAACAAAACTCTGCATTGGCGACAGGAAGGGGATCCAGCCATTAAATGCTCTGCTAGCTCCATTCAGTTGGCCAGATTCCACCCCGCAAAGGATTATGGGGTTGTTAAATGATGATGATGAAGATGATGATGAGAGACAGACAGACAGATACATAAATACATACATACATACATACAGTAGTGGCCAAAATTGTGGAAACCTTTTAGGAAAAGTGTATTTTTGAGGTTTGATGGCTAATAACACCACTTTTGTTTGGAGTTTCAAGATAATCCTATTCCACTGCTGGAATGGCCTGGGAAGAGCCCAGACCTTCTTAACCCAATGGAAAATCTAGGGAGCCGACTAAAGAAACTGGTTAGTCAGAAGCGACCCAGCAATAAAACCCAGTTAATAGAAGCCATCATTCCATCTTGGTTTCACATGATAACAGCTGCAGAACTCAAAGACTTAGTCCACTCCATGGGAAGACGTTGTAAGGCCGTCATTCATGCTAAAGGTGACCCAACTAAGGATTAACTGACATGGGGAACATTTTTGTATATCTTGTTTTTTCTACGTGTTTCACTTTTCTTCTTTATACTGTAACCGCTATTCTCATAGCAAATCCTTCATAAAACTTATTGCATTATATTCTTGATTAAATTATCTTTCCATTGATATATAATTTTATGGTACTATTCAAAAAAAGGGGGGGTGTTATTAGCTATTTTTAGAAAATACACTTTTCCCAAAAGGTTTCCACAATTTTGGCCGCTATTGTAGGTAGGTAGGTAGGTAGGTAGGTGGATGGATGGATGGATGGATGGATGGATGGATGGATGGATGGATAGATAGATAGATAGATAGATAGATAGATAGATAGATAGATAGATAGACAGATAGATCCTTTTAACGCAATAAAATTTAATTGGAAAGAAAAGATGTTTTAAAAAAGATTAAAAAATCAAAGTAGAAAGGCTAAATCCTTGTTTTAATTTTAAGAGTTGCAGACTTCAACTCCCAGAATTCCCTCAGGCTGGCTGAGGGAATTCTGGGAGTTGAAGTCCGCACATCTTAAAATCGCCGCTTTTGAGAAACTCTGGGCCGGATTAAAATGGGTGAATGAGATTTGGGGGTTTTCCTGAGAAATGGCCACCTCCCAAGCAGAGAGAGGCTTGTGTAAAGACCCTCAGTGCCCCCAACCTGCCTGTCCCACCTTCCCAAAGAGGAGGCCAAGGAAACCTAGCTTTGGTTTGGGAATTTTGCTCCATCAGTTTCTCATCCTTTTATTCCACAAAGAAGATTATCGGCTAATTTCTCTCGGCTTTCGAGACCCCGTCCATCTGCCGGGCATCGCTCAGGCCGGAGGTCCAGATTAAGGTCAGCGGTTCTGTGTCCTACGTGGCAAATCCTGTCCTGGCAGCCGAGATGGGATTGGAGCTATTCCCCTTCCATTAATAATAGAAAGTCGGATCCTGGTTTTCAATCAGTCCAGTTGCCTACCGGGGAATTCTGGGAGTTGAAGTTCATCGAAATTAAAAGACCTATCTAGACTTTCCACTTACAGGTTTTGACCTGAATTAAAACAAAAACAGGCATTTTA